GGGGAGCAGGTACGGGGCGTCCCGGGCTGGCGACACGCACCACTGGTTTGGTGCGAGGAGCAGGGACGGGCCGTGCCGGACTGGGAACACGCACCACTGGCTTGGTGCGGGGAGCAGGTACGGGGCGTACCGGGCTGGCGACACGCACCACTGGTTTGGTGCGAGGAGCAGGGACGGGCTGTACTGGACTGGGAACACGCACCACTGACTTGGTGCGGGGAGCAGGCACGGGCCGTGCCGGACCGGAGACACGCACCACTGGTTTGGTGCGAGGAGCAGGCACGGGCCGTACTGGACTGGGAACACGCACCACTGGCTTGGTGCGGGGAGCAGGCACGGGCCGTGCCGGACCGGAGACACGCACCACTGGTTTGGTGCGAGGAGCAGGCACGGGCCGTGCCGGACTGGAGACACGCACCACTGGTTTGGTGTGGGGAGCAGGCACGGGCTGTACCGGACTGGGAACACGCACCACTGGCTTGGTGCGAGGAGCAGGCACGAGGCGTACCGGACTGGGAACCGGCGCTGGAGGTCTACGACTGTACCAGTCCTTTACTCTCCGCGCCCAGTCCTCCTCCAGTGAGGACTCCTCCTTGAGCCCCCACGAGTGCAGTGGTCGGGGCTCTTCTCTATCGATCCCCGACCACCCTTTTAGCCCCCCCAAAAATGTTTTTATTGGGGCTGTCTCGCGGGCTTCCATCTCGGCCGACGCCTTCGCCCAGGGTCCTTTTCCTGCCAAAATCTCCTCCCATGTCCAAAAACTCTTCCCCACCTGTGTCCAGGGTGTCTGCTGCTCCTGGGCACGCTGCTTGGTCCGTTTTTGGTGGGATCTTCTGTCACGATCGTTGAGAGACGGGTCAGACCAAGGCGCAGCGTGCGATGTGAACATGTTTATTTAACTCAAATAAACATACGACAAAACAATAAACCAACATAACGTGAAGTCCAAGGCTATACACAATACAAGCCAAACACAGGAACAAGATCCCACAACTAAGGTAGGCAAACAGGCTACTTAAGTATGATCCCCAATCAGAGACAACGAGCGACAGCTGTCTCTGATTGGTAATCACACCCGGCCAAACATAGAAACACAATACCTAGATCACAAACAGAATGCATCACATAGATTTCCACACCCTGACTCAACATACAAGAGTTCCATACGTCAGGGTGTGACACCCCCATATATAATTTGTTGTAAATATTTACAGTACCAGTCAAACGTTTGGATTCAAGGGTATCTCTTAATTTTTACTATTTTCTACATTGTAGAATAATAGTGAAGACATCAAAACTATGAAATAACACATATGGAATCATGTAGTAACCAAAAAAGTGTTAAATAAATCAAAATATATTTTATATTTGAGATTCTTCAAAGTAGCCACCCTTTGCCTTGATGACAGCTTTGCACACTCTTGGCATTCTCTCAACCAGCTTCACCTGGAATGCTTTTCCAACGGTCTTGAAGGAGTTCCCACATATGCTGAGCACTTGTTGGCTGCTTTTCCTTTTCCAATTTGGACTCCAGACCAAAGGACACATTTCCACTGGTCTAATGTCCATTGCTCATGTTTCTTGGCCCAAGCAGGTCTCTTCTACTTATTGGTGTCCTTTTAGTAGTGGTTTCTTTTCAGCAATTCGACCATGAAGGCCTGATTCACACAGTCCCCTTTGAACAGTTGATGTTGTGTCTGTGACTTGAACTCTGTGAAGCATTTATTCAAGCTGCAATTTCTGAGGCTGGTAACTCTAATGAACTTATCCTCTGCACCAGGGGTAACTCTGGGTCTTCCATTCCTATGGCGGTCTTCATGAGAGCCAGTTTCATCATAGTGCTTGATGGTTTTTATGACTGCACTTGAAGAAACGTTCAAAGTTCTTGAAATGTTCCGTATTGCCTGACCTTCATGCTTTAAAGAAATGATGGACTGTCATTTCTCTTTGCTTATTTGAGCTGTTCTTGCAATAATATGGACTTGGTATTTTACCAAATAGGGCTATCTTCTGTATACCCCCCCTACCTTGTCACAACACAACTGATTGGCTCGAACGCATTAATTAAAGAAATTCCACAAATGTTCCACTTTTAAGAAGGCACACCTGTTAATTGAAATACATTCCAGGTGACTACCTCATCAAGCTGGTTGAGAGAATGCCAAGAGTGTGCAAAGCTGTCATCAAGGCAAAGGGTGGCTATTTGAAGAATCTCAAATATAAAATATATTTTGATTTGTTTAACACTTTTTTGGTTGTCCAAACTTTTGACAAGTAATGTTTGTTTGTGTGTGTGTGTGTATGTACAGTGAGGGAAAAAGTATTTGATCCCCTGCTGATTTTGTACGTTTGCCCACTGACAAAGAAATGATCAGTCTATAATTTTAATGGTAGGTTTATTTGAACAGTGAGAGACAGAATAACAACAAAAAATATCCAGAAAAACGCATGTCAAAAATGTTATAAATTGATTTGCATTTTAATGAGGGAAATAAGTATTTGACCCCTCTGCAAAACATGACTTAGTACTTGGTGACAAAACCCTTGTTTGCAATCACAGAGGTCAGACGTTTCTTGTAGTTGGCCACCAGGTTTGCACACATCTCAGGAGGGATTCTGTCCCACTCCTCTTTGCAGATCTTCTCCAAGTCATCAAGGTTTCGAGGCTGACGTTTGGCAACTCGAACCTTCAGCTCCCTCCACAGATTTTCTATGGGATTAAGGTCTGGAGACTGGCTAGGCCACTCCAGGACCTTAATGTGCTTCTTCTTCAGCCACTCCTTTGTTGCCTTGGCCGTGTGTTTTGGGTCATTTTCATGCTGGAATACCCATCCACAACCCATTTTCAATGCCCTGGCTGAGGGAAGGAGGTTCTCACCCAAGATTTGACAGTCCCGTCCATCGTCCCTTTGATGCGGTGAAGTTGTCCTGTCCCCTTAGCAGAAAAACACCCCCAAAGCATAATGTTTCCACCTCCATGTTTGACGGTGGGGATGGTGTTCTTGGGGTCATAGGCAGCATTCCTCCTCCTCCAAACACGGCGAGTTGAGTTGATGCCAAAGAGATCCATTTTGGTCTCATCTGACCACAACATTTTCACCCAGTTCTCCTCTGAATCATTCAGATGTTCATTGGCAAACTTCAGACGGGCATGTATATGTGCTTTCTTGAGCAGGGGGACCTTGCGGGCGCTGCAGGATTTCAGTCCTTCACGGCGTAGTGTGTTACCAATTGTTTTCTTGGTAACTATGGTCCCAGCTGCCTTGAGATCATTGACAAGATCCTCCCGTGTAGTTCTGGGCTGATTCCTCACCGTTCTCATGATCATTGCAACTCCACGAGGTGAGATCTTGCATGGAGCCCCAGGCCGAGGGAGATTGACAGTTCTTTTGTGTTTCTTCCATTTGCGAATAATCGCACCAACTGTTGTCACCTTCTCACCAAGCTGCTTGGCGATGGTCTTGTAGCCCATTCCAGCCTTGTGTAGGTCTACAATCTTGTCCCTGACATCCTTGGAGAGCTCTTTGGTCTTGGCCATGGTGGAGAGTTTGGAATCTGATTGATTGATTGCTTCTGTGGACAGGTGTTTTTAATACAGGTAACAAGCTGAGATTAGGAGCACTCCCTTTAAGAGTGTGCTCCTAATCTCAGCTCGTTACCTGTATAAAAGACACCTGGGAGCCAGAAATCTTTCTGATTGAGAGGGTGTCAAATACTTATTTCCCTCATTAAAATGCAAATCAATTTATAACATTTTTGACATGCGTTTTTCTGGATGTTTTTGTTGTTATTCTGTCTCTCACTGTTCAAATAAACCTACCATTTAAAATTATAGACTGATAATTTCTTTGTCAGTGGGCAAACGTACAAAATCAGCAGGGGATCAAATACTTTTTTCCCTCACTATATATATATATATATATATATATATATATATATATATATATATATATATATATATATATATATATATATATATATATATATATATATATATATATATATCATTATTATTTTTTAAATATTTTCCTTTATTAGTATCGCGAATATTCGTTAGTGTCTTGGAAACAAAACATTGCATAACTCTGCCTTAATGTTGGAAACCAACATCATTATGTTGTCATCCAGAGACACATTCATTTATTTTCCAAGCTATAGCACTCAATATTTTACATAGAGCAGGTTTTTAAAAGACCAAATAGATCTGCTTCATGTTTTCATTACTTTCACTACAGTATAACATCCAACATGGAGTCTGTTTCTGCCTATTGGTGGGTAGTGCAGTGGGTGTGTGTGCGTGCGTGCGTGCGCGATATGAAAGACGACATTGTTCCCCAGAAGACACTGAACAGAAAGCATGATGTCATCGGGACAACTGTCTCCTGCATGAACGACACCCCTCATTGGATGACATTAGACTCCGCTTCAACCAACCTCTCCAATCTACCAAACCCTTAGATAATTTAATGAATCAGTTTGATATGTGCGAAATGAATGTTCTTTTAATTGTCACTTTGTGTTAGCATTGCAATTGCTAGGCTAGACAGTGAAATGGTTATGAAGCTGAATTGTATATCCTCATGAAAAACGACAACATTCTCCTATTATAGACATGTTATTGCACAAAGTTTCCAAAAATGTGACTCCCAAGCTTACCCCTCTCATCCCTTTTCCCTATTAGCCTGGTTCACACCAAGGGCCAAACCAAGCCGAGCAGGACCGGGCTGGCCTGGTTACGTATCAACCATAGTTGCTGGAAAGGATAATGCGAAATATCTGAGCCAGCATAGTTTGGTTTGGTCCTATAGTGTGAATCAGGCAACCATCTACCTTGATCCCAACATGACCTGCTAGCTCTGTCATGGTTGTGGTGGTGTTGTTGTTAATGATAAAAATGATGGTGATGGTTTGGCCCCCCCTCCTGTCCTCCCGTCCTGTCTGTCCATTGGCTGACGGGCGGTGTCCGTTCTCTCCTCTCTCCCCTCTGCCGTGCTGTACAGGTCTATGAGAGCAAGTTGCAGGAACTTCAGAAACAGGTGGAGACCTGTTCACTGGCTGTGGAGACGCCCGACGAAGAGGAAGACGAAGATGAGGAAGAGGAGGGTGCGTTCTTTATTAAATCATGAGCAACAAGGAATAGAATTTCACTGTTCATGAACCAGGGGCCGTATTCATCAAGCATCTCAGAGTAGGAGTGCTGATCTAGGATCAGGTCCCTCCTGTCCATGTGGTCTTGTTCATTATAACTCTGAGACGCTTTATGAAATCGGGCCCAGAAAGACATTTCAATTAGTTAAATTGAACTGTTTTAATGTGGTCCTGTACTGCACCTGTCTGTGTTCTTTTCATGAGCAAAATGTGTGTTGTCATGTTGACTGCCCATAGAAATCACCCACTCATCAGAAAAGATTGATCAAGGTAACTGAACTCCAAGTAAAACAGTCTTATGACTAATGATGAAACATCCCAGTCTTCCTAACCAGCACAACCACATACATTTACTAGTGTCCGAAACAACCCGCCAACATCCCAACATTGAACCCATGAACAATACTTATCATGTGTGTGCGTGGGTGCACGTGTGTACGTCTGTGTGTGTGTGTGCATGTCTCTGTGTCTCTGCGTGTGCATCTTGTGTGTGTATTTGAATATATTTGCCTGTCTTTGACACTGTCCCCTATCCCCTGCAGTGCCCTGGACACAGCATGAGTTTGAGATAGCGCAGTGGGCTTTCAGAAAATGGCGGTACCATCAGTTCACCTCCCTCCGCGACCAGCTTTGGGGCAACGCAGTCTACCTGAAGGAGGCCAACGCCATCAGTGTCGAACTAAAGAAGAAGGTAACTATTGTCACATTGTACACTCAAATTCAGTTTAAAATCTAATTTTAAACTCTTAATTCTCAATATTTCTATATTATTATTCTATTATATTCGGAACAATATTTTATCAAATTTGGTCCGGTTCGCATACACCCCTAGTGTCAAAATAGCTGAGACAATGGCTGCATATCAATAGTTTTAAGTGGCTTCCTCTCCCGGTCTCCTCTATCTCCTCTGCATTTATGTGAAAACACAGGCTAGGTGAAAGTGGTAGATACGTACTGATCCGCTGAGCAGAATGTCAAAGGACACCATAGAAGTAGAATTACTGGAATGGGAATCCCAATTCAAGTCAATGTAATTATATTTATAGGATGTAGACATACAGTACCAGTCAAAAGTTTGGACACACCTACTCATTCAAGGGTTTTTCTTTATTTTAATATTTTCTACATTGTAGAATAATAGTGAAGACATTAAAACTATGAAATAACACATATGGAATCATGTAGCAACCAAAAAAGTGTTAAACAAATCAAAATATATTTTATAAGTAGCCACCCTTTGCCTTGATGACAGCTTTGCACACTCTTGGCATTCTCTCAACCAGCTTCATGAGGTAGTCACCTGAAATGCTTTCCCAAGTCTTGAAGGAGTTCCCACATATGCTGAGCACTTGTTGGCTGCTTTTCCTTCACTCTGCGGTCCAACTCATCCCAAACCATCTCAATTGTGTTGAGGTCGGGTGATTGTGGAGGCCAGGTCATCTGATGCAGCACTCCGTCACTCTCCTTCTTGGTCAAATAGCCCCTACACAGCCTGGAGGTGTGTTTTGGGTCATTGTCCTGTTGAAAAACAAATGATAGTCCCACAAAGCGCAAACCAGATGGGATGGCGTATCGCTGCAGAATGCTGTGGTAGCCATGCTGGTTAAGTGTGCCTTGAATTCTAAATAAATCACAGACAGTGTCACCAGAAAAGCACCATCACACCTCCTCCTCCATGCTTCACGGTGGGAACCACACATGCAAAGATCATCCGTTCACCTACTCTGCGTCTCACAAAGACACGGAGGTTTGAACCAAAAATCTCAAATTTGAACTCGTCAGACCAAAGGACAGATTTCCACCGGTCTAATGTCCATTGCTCGTGTTTCTTGGCCCAAGCAAGTCTCTTCTTATTATTGGTGTCCTTTAGTAGTGGTTTCTTTGCAGCAATTCGACCATTAAGGCCTGATTCAAGCAGTCTCCTCTCAACAGTTGATGTTGAGATGTGTCTGTTACTTGAACTCTGTGAAGCATTTATTTGGGCTGCAACCTGAGGTGCAGTTAATTGCCTATTTCTGAGGCTGGTAACTCTAATGAACTTATCCTCTGCAGCAGAGGTAACTCTGGATCTTCCTTTCCTGTGGCGGTCCTCATGTGAGCCAGTTTCATCGTAGCGCTTGATGGTTTTTGCGTCTGACCTTCATGTCTTCAAGTAATGATGGACTATCGTTTGTCTTTGCTTATTTGAGCTGTTCTTGCCATAATATGGACTTGGTCTTTTACCAAGTAGGGCTATCTTCTGTATACCAACCCTACCTTGTCACAACACAAATGATTGGCTCAAACGCATTAAGAAGGAAATAAATTCCACAAATAAACTTTTAACAAAGCACACCTACTTACAGCGCCGGGAAGATGGCTGCCGTTTTACAGCCCTCTAACCAATTGTACTATTATGTGTGTTTTTCCAGCGTTATTTGTAATTTATTTTGTACATAATGTTTCTGCCATCGTCTCTTATAACCAAAAAGAGCTTCTGGATATCAGGACAGTGATTACTCACCTCGCATTGGACGAAGATTTTTTCTTCAACGAGGCGGTCGCGAAGGATATCCTACAGACACCCGACAAGGCCCAGATCCCCGTCATTCGCGTGAGGAAGAGACGGAGATATCGCGGACGCAGATCCGGGTGCCTTGTAAGGATCCGACGGCGAGCGAGTAAACTGCCTCTCCCATCAATCCTACTAGCCAACGTTCAATCTTTTGAGAATAAAATGGACGAGTTAAGATTACGGTTATCCTACCAACGGGACATTAAAAACTGTAATATCTTATGTTTCACGGAGTCGTGGCTGAACGACAACAATGATAACATTCAGCTAGCAGGCTATACGCTACATCGGCAGGACAGAACGTCTGACTCTGGTAAGACAAGGGGCGGCGGTCTGTGTATATTTGTAAACAACAGCTGGTGCACAAAATCAAATACTAAGGAAGTCTCGAGGTTTTGCTCGCCTGAGGTAGAGTATCTTATGATAAGCTGTAGACCACACTATTTACCAAGAGAGTTTTCATCTATATTTTTCATAGCTGTCTATTTACCACCACAAACCAATGCTGGCATTAAGATTGCTCTGAATGAGTTGTACAAGGCCATTAATCAACAGGAAAACGCTCATCCAGATGCAGCGCTCCTAGTGGCCGGGGACTTTAATGCAGGGAAACTTAAATCCGTTCTACCTAATTTCTACCAGCATGTTAAATGTGCAACCAGAGGGAAAAAAACTCTAGACCACCTTTACTCCACACACAGAGACGCATACAAAGCTCTCCCTCGCCCTCCATTTGGCAAATCTGACCATAACTCTATCCTCCTGATTCCTGCTTATAAGCAAAAACTGAAGCAGGAAGCACCAGTGATTCGGTTAATAAAAAAGTGGTCAGATGACGCCGATGCTAAGCTACAGGACTGTTTTGCTAGCACAGACTGGAACATGTTCCGGGATTCTTCAGACAGCATTGAGGAGTACACCACATCAGTCACTGGCTTCATCAATTAGTGCATCGATGATGTCGTCCCCACAGTGACCGTACGTACATACCCCAACCAGAAGCCATGGATTACAGGAAACATCCGCACTGAGCTAAAGGGTAGAGCTGCCGCTTTCAAGGAACGGGACTCTAACCCGGACGCTTATAAGAAATCCCGCTATGACCTCCGACGAACCATCAAACAGGCAAAGAGTCAATACAGGTCTAAGATTGAATCATACTACACTGGCTCTGACGCTCGTCGGATGTGGCAGGGCTTGAAAACTATTACAGACTACAAAGGGAAGCACAGCCGCGAGCTGCCCAGTGACACAAGCCTACCAGACGAGCTAAACCACTTCTATGCTCGCTTCGAGGCAAGCAACACTGAAGCATGCATGAGAGCACCAGCTGTTCCGGATGACTATGTGATCACGCTCTCCGTAGCCGATGTGAGTAAGACTTTTAAGCAGGTCAACATTCACAAGGCCGCAGGGCCAGACGGATTACCAGGACGTGTACTCCGAGCATGTGCTGACCAACTGGCAAGTGTCTTCACTGACATTTTCAACATGTCCCTGACTGAGTCTGTAATACCAACATGTTTCAAGCAGACCACCATAGTCCCCGTGCCCAAGAACTCTAAGATAACCTGCCTAAATGACTACCGACCCGTAGCACTGACGTCTGTAGCCATGAAGTGCTTTGAAAGACTGGTCATGGCTCACATCAACAGCATAATCCCAGGAACCCTAGACCCACTCCAATTTGCATACCGCCCCAACAGATCCACAGATGATGCAATCTCTATCGCACTCCACACTGCCCTTTCCCACCTGGACAAGAGGAACACCTACGTGAGAATGCTATTCATTGACTACAGCTCAGCATTCAACACCATAGTGCCCTCTAAGCTCATCACTAAGCTAAGGATCCTGGGACTAAACACCTCCCTCTGCAACTGGATCCTGGACTTCCTGATGGGCCGCCCCCAGGTGGTAAGGGTAGGTAACAACACATCTGCCACACTGATCCTCAACACGGGGGCCCCTCAGGGGTGCGTGCTCAGTCCCCTCCTGTACTCTCTGTTCACCCATGACTGCATGGCCAGGCACGACTCCAACACCATCATTAAGTTTGCCGACGACACAACAGTGGTAGGCCTGATCACCGACAACGATGAGACAGCCTATAGGGAGGAGGTCAGAGATCTGGCCGTGTGGTGCCAGGACAACAACCTCTCCCTCAACGTGACCAAGACAAAGGAGATGATTGTGGACTACAGGGAAAAAAAAGAGGACTGAGCACGCCCCCATTCTCATCGACGGGGCTGTAGTGGAACAGGTTGAGAGCTTCAAGTTCCTTGGTGTCCACATCACCAACGAACTATCATGGTCCAAACACACCAAGACAGTCGTGAAGAGGGCACGACAAAGCCTATTCCCCCTCAGGAGACTAAAAAGATTTGGCATGGGTCCTCAGATCCTCAAAAAATTCTACAGCTGCACCATCGAGAGCATCCTGACTGGTTGCATCACCGCCTGGTATGGCAACTGCTTGGCCTCTGACCGCAAGGCACTACAGAGGGTAGTGCGTACGGCCCAGTACATCACTGGGGCAAAGCTCCCTGCCATTCAGGACCTCTATACCAGGCGGTGTCAGAGGAAGGCCCTCAAAATTGTCAAAGACTCCAGCCACCCTAGTCATAGACTGTTCTCTCTGCTACCGCACGGCAAGCGGTACCGGAGTGCCAAGTCTAGGTCCAAAAGACTTCTCAACAGCTTCTACCCCCAAGCCATAAGACTCCTGAACAGCTAATCATGGCTACCCGGACTATTTGCACTGCCCCCCCACCCCATCCTTTTTACGCTGCTGCTACTCTGTTAAGTATTTATGCATAGTCACTTTAACTCTACCCACATGTACATATTACCTCAACTACCTCAACTAGCCGGTGCCCCCGCACATTGACTCTGCAACGGTACCCCCCTGTATATATAGCCTCCCTACTGTCACTTTATTTTACTGTATATATAGCCTCCCTACTGTCACTTTATTTTACTTCTGCTCTTTTTTTCTCAACACTTTTTTTGTTGTTGTTTTATTCTTACTTTTTTTGTTTAAAATAAATGCACTGTTGGTTAAGGGCTGTAAGTAAGCATTTCACTGTAATGTCTGCACCTGTTGTATTCGGCGCATGTGACCAATAAAATTTGATTTGATTTGATTTGAAATGCATTCCAGGTGACTACCTCATGAAGCTGGTTGAGAGAATGCCAAGAGTGTGCAAAGCTGTCAAGGCAAAGGATGGCTACTTTGAAGAATCTCAAATCTCAAATATATTTTGATTTGTTTAACACTTTTTTGGTTACTACATGATTCCATATGTGTTATTTCATACTTTTGATGTCTTCACTATTATTCTACAATGTAGAAAATAAAAAAATAAAGAAAAACCCTTGAATGAGTAGGTGTGTCCAGACTTTTGACTGGTACTGTACTTGTGACGATGTCACAGGGAAGGACACCACAATGTTGTTGAGTGTTTCAAATCAGCCGCGATGGACACTCACGATTTATGAGCATCAATCGTAACAAGATATTAGGTGGATAGTGGGAGAAAATGCTGAACACAACCCTTTAAATTATGGATGTTGGAAGGTGATCTTTGAGATGAAGACGAATACATGGAATGTGTCCCAAATGGCACCCTATTCCTTTTATAGTGCACTAACAGAGCTCCCTGGTCAAAAGAAGAGCACAATAAAGGGAATAGGGTGCCATTTGGGACGCAACCTTGGAATCTCAGATAAATCAGAGAAGCCGGCGGTCACCGTACTGTTGCCGGTCTTTTATGGGATGCGTCCCAAATGGCTCCCTATAGATGATGAAACAGATGATGGACAGTAGGGACCTGTTGTGAACTATATAGGGAATAGGGTACCATTTGGGACACGCATGGTCTGCCTGACCCATCTAGAGGAGCTTGATTTCTATTCTGATTATAGACATGTCAGGTTGTTGGAACAGACTGATGGATGGTGGAGGGGAGTGGTCTGTCAGGTTTCCTACTGCTCTTTATTTATTACTAGCTTCTACTCTCCTATTATTTATACCCCTTGTTGTTCTTTGCTTGAACATATTATCTCAGGCAGGACTGAAAATGGTAGGACGGGTAGATTTATGATTTCTACCTACTCTCAACCTTGTCAAGTTCAATGGTTTTTTTCTCCCTTCTCTGTGCTCCCTCCACCCCGCCTCCCTTTTTGACCTCTCCTCCCTTTTTGACCTCTCCCTCTCCATCTCCCCTGTCTCTCAGGTGCAGTTCCAGTTCGTATTGCTGACGGACACCTTGTACTCGCCGCTACCTCCGGAGCTTTCGCCCGCCGAGCTGGAGAAGGAGCGCGACTCACGCCCGTTCCCCCGCACTGTGGTGGCCGTGGAGATACAGGACCTGAAGAACGGTGCCACGCACTACTGGTCCCTGGAGAAGCTCAAGTAAGACCATGGGTCATGTTCATTAGGGCACACTAGCAAAACGTTTTGCAACACAAAATTAAAATTAGTTTCTTATTGGGCAATTCCAGGTAGTCCCTCCCTGTTTCAATCCGTTTTCTTCCATTTGGTACCTAATGAATACAGACGACCCTGGTCTCCTAAGGTACAGTTGAAGTCGGATGTTTACATACACCTTAGCCAAATACATTTAAACTCAGTTTTTCAGAATTCCTGACATTTAATCCTAGTAAAAACTCCCTGTCTTAGTTCAGTTAGGATCACCACTTTATTTTAAGAATGTGAAATGTCAGAATAATAGTAGAGAGAATGATTTATTTAAGCTTTTATTTCTTTCATCACATTCCCAGTGGGTCAGAAGTTTACATACACTCAATTAATATTTGGTAGCATTGCCTTTAAATTGTTTAACTTGGGTCAAACGTTTCGGGTAGCCTTCCACAAGCTTCCCACAATAAGTTGGGTGAAGTTTGGTCCATTCCTCCTGACAGAGCTGGTGTAACTGAGTCAGGTTTGTAGGCCTCCTGGCTCGCACACGCTTTTTCAGTTCTGCCCATACATTTTCTATAGGATTGAGGTCAGGGCTTTGTGATGGCCACTCCAATACCTTGACTTTGTTGTCCTTAAGCCATTTTGCCACAACTTTGGAAGTATGCTTGGGGTCATTGTCCATTTGGAAGACCCATTTGCGACCAAGCTTTAACTTCCTGACTGATGTCTTGAGATGTTGCTTCAATATATCCACATAATTTTCCTTCCTCATGATGCCATCTATTTTGTGAAGTGCACCAGACCCTCCTGCAGCAAAGCACCCCCACAGCATGACGCTGCCACCCCCGTGTTTCACGGTTGGGATGGTGGTCTTTGCCTTGCAAGCTCTCCCCTTTTTCCTCCAAACATAACGATGGTCATTATGGCCGAACAGTTCTATTTTTGTTTCATCGGACCAGAGGACATTTCTCCAAAAAGTACGATCTTTGTCCCCATGTGCAGTTGCAAACCGTAGTCTGTCTTTTTTATGGTGGTTTTAGAGCAGTGGCTTCTTCCTTGCTGAGCGGCCTTTCAGGTTATGTCGATATAGGACTCGTTTTACTGTGGATATAGATACTTTTGTACCTGTTTCCTCCAGCATCTTCACAAGGTGCTTTGATGTTGTTCTGGGATTGATTTGCACTTTTCGCACCAAAGTACGTTCATCTCTAGGAGACAGAACGCGTCTCCTTCCTGAGCGGTATGACGGCTGCGTGGTCCCATGGTGTTTATACTTGCGTACTATTGTTTGTACAGATGAACGTGGTACCTTCAGGCGTTTGGAAATTGCTCCCAAGGATGAACCAGACTTGTGGAGGTCTACAATTTTTTTTCTGAGGTCTTGGCTGATTTCTTTTGATTTTCCCATGATGTCAAGCAAAGAGGCACTGAGTTTGAAGGTAGGCCTTGAAATACATCCACAGGTACTCCTCCAATTGACTCAAATTATGTCAATTAGCCTATCAGAAGCTTCTATAAGCCATGTCATCATTTTCTGGAATTTTCCAAGCTGTTTAAAGGCACAGTCAACTTAGTATATGTAAACTTCTGACCCACTGGAATTGTGATACAGTGAATTATAAGTGAAATAATCTGTCTGTAAACAATTGTTGGAAAAATTACTTGTGTCCAGTTTTTAACTGGAAATTGCCCATTTACTTTGGATGTTTAGATGATCAATTACACGGGTTTCAATTCACTTCCTGGATTGATTGATTTGGATTCATATGATATTGCCACAGCTTACCTGGATTTTCATGCCCACTTATGATATCAGTGATGCCATCCATCTTGGCATCCTTAAGTGAGGTGTATGATAAAGGGTCCAGGGCCTATATTCATAAAGCTCGCTGATCTAGGATCAAGTCACACCTGTCCATATACTATTCAATGTGATCTAAAAGGCTAAACTGATCCTAGATCAGCACTCCAGTTATATTGATGCTATATCTGATCAACTATATGCATTGATTTTAACCTGACTCAATTGATCTCAAAACCCACAATAATAAATGTGAAAAACCCTGCAAACTCCTCATTGATTGATTTAATTCTTACTAATAACCCCATACATGTTTCTGTAGTGGTGTCTTTGCATATGATCTCAGCGATCATTGTCCCATAGTATGCATTAGAGTTACCAAACTGCAAAATATAAATCCCTGTTTAAATAAGAAGATACATTTTACAAACTTTACTCGTCAGGAGTTTGTACCCAACTTGTTCCACACTGAGTTATCCACTATATCCTGTATTCCAGACCCTGAGTTGTCTCTAAAACATTTATCCTCCATTTTTGATTGCAGAATCATTAACCCATATTTTTTACCTGACGATTATATCTGGTACTATCCCCAAGGTTTGGAAGGCAGCTCATATACTCCTCCTTCACAAAGGTGGTGACCCTTGTGACCTAAATAACTATTGCCCTATTACAAAACGTTCTTGCCTAGCTAAAATGTTAGAATCCTTGATTCATTCTCAGCTAAGGTCTTATCTTTTAAATGTATCAGTCAGATTTTAGACCAGGTCACAGCATCTCTGCTGGTTCACTGGTTATAAATGATGGAGTAAATTTTAAGGCAACATTGTGCTGCCCTTTTTCATTAACCTGTCAAAGGCCTTCGATACTGTGGATCACTCTACTAATTCAAAGGTAGTCCGCAATTGGCCTGAATCAGGCTGCGCGTAATTGGTTCAAAAAGTAGCTGACAGGCAGCACACAATAAAGCAGGACACAATAATAACTCTGATTTAAGCATATGTACTTTGGATCGTGCCCACATTGATCGTGTCCCGACCTACAAATATCTGGGTATCTGACTAGATGAAAAGCTGTCTTTTTAAAAAGCATATTGATCAGTTAGTTAATGCTGAGAATTAAAATGGGTTTCTTCTATAGTAGAAAGCAGATCATTCAGTTGACGTTCCTACCGGTCCTAGACTATAGCGACATTGTCTATATATGAATGCAGCTGCCACTTCATTAAAGCCGTTAGATGCAGTTTATCATAGCGCTCTATGTTTTATTACAGTTGACTAATTTAGTACACATGACTGCGTTCTCTACCAGAAGGTTGGCTGGCCCTCTTTGATGTCACGTAGGTCGATATTTATTGTGTAATTACAGGGCTCATTTGTAAAAGAGACCTTGGTCTCAACATGACTCCCTGTCAAAATAAAGGTGAAAAATAATAACAAACTGTTCACGCTACTGGGCTAAGCCGAACTGAGCCAAGCTTTACTGCGTTGGCCTGGTTACACATTAATCTACCATAGTTGCTGGTCTGGAACAGTGCTGGAAAGGAAAAGGTGGAAAGAAAATAATCCAAGTGGAACTCTGATGTGATTGCAGGCAGAGGCTGGACCAGATGAGAGAGATGTACGACCGCGCCGGGGAAATGGCTTCCTCCAATCAGGACGACAACGACGGGGCTCTGACAGGAAATGACCCGTTCTATGACCGCTTTCATTGGTTCAAATTGGTGGGGAGGTACGTACGATGCAACACTGGCTATAACAATTCCTTTGTTCAATTTTTTTTGTTAGACTTCTATTTGTTGATTCTGCTATCTTTGGTTGGGTGTTTTAGATGTAAAGTAGTTGCTTTATGGAGTTGAAAAGCAAAGCGGTTGGTTTTGTTTTGTGGACGGATACCCTCAGCTGTTTTGAGGAGCTTTCATGAATAGTTCATGAAATGGAGTCCATTTACACTTCCGTGATTCCATTATTCATTTTTATGTCCCAGTGCTGTTGGATTGATTCATTTTCTGTCCTTATAGCCACATGTTTTAATTATTTCATATCTTTCAATAAGCAAGATTCATCTATGTTTTATGTTGGTAGCTACATTCTGTGCCCTTATATATTTGTTTTCTTTGTACCCTTATAACATTTCACTTTTCAGTTGTTATTTTCATTTGGTGATTTTGTTTTTTCTCTTTAATTTCATTTTTATCAATGTCATTTCATGTATATGTCCTTGTTTTGTTACTAACCACTATGTCTACGCCTTATGTTTTTGTACAAAAACAAATGTAACAATTATGTTTGTTCCTTGTGATGTAGTGTTTCAGTTAAATAAGACTAGTACTAGTCGTAAAGTTAACACTAGACTACTAACAAATGTTAGTAAGCTTTTGTTCTTATAATTCAAATGCTGGTTTTCGTATTAACTTAACTTGATCAATATGGACAATGTGTCAACAATATACATTTAACATTTTAGTAATTTAGCAGATGCTCTTATCCAGAGCGACTTACAGTAGTGACTGTATACATTTAACTTTTTCGTACTGGTCACACGTGGGAATCAAACCCACAACCCTGGCGTTGCTAGCAACGTGCTCTACCAACTGAGACCAGTGTATCCCTCTCCAACTGTGCACCATGACAGACTTTAACCTTCAAGTCAGTCTTTCACATTACAGTACAATCCACTCAAGCCAAACTATAACACTCTCCATTGTTACCTTCACTTGGCTGCTTGCCTCCCTGCATCCCATCACCCTCCCTCCCTGTCCTCCCCTTGTACCCTTAGCTCCCCCATCTTCCATGGCTGCGTCAACGAGCAGCGGCTGGCCGACCGCACGCCCTCACCCACCTTCTCCACGGCCGACTCAGACATCACAGAGCTGGCGGACGAGCGACAGAGCGAGATGTCGGACTACTTGGATGACGAGGCGTTCGTGGACGACACCAGCTCGGATGCTGGCACCGAGGAGGGCTCGGATATCTTCAGCGACGGCCAGGATCCCTTCTACGACCGCTCCCCCTGGTTCATACTGGTGGGAAGGTTGGTGACCGTCCATGATGATGATGCTGAACCGCCATGTTGGTCATTTTGTGACCGTGTCACATGTGACATCACACATGCTCTGGAAGAGGGGGAGGGGGAGAAGAGAGTGCTGGCTCATTTCACTCAGGGGCAAATACTAACTTAAACTTTAATTTAAATGTTCACTTAGTCCACATACAGTGAGCTCCAACAGTATTGGGACAGTGCATTTGTTGTTGTTTTGACTCTGTACTCCAGCACTTTGGATTAGAAATGATACAATGACTTAGATGCACAAATATCATACTCCCCCAAAAGTGCTAACCTCTCCTGTTATTGTAATGGTGAGATGTTAGCATGTCTTGGGGGTATGATATTTGTGCATTTTGTAGTCACAAGCTTGATGTAGTCATTGCGTGCTATGAATATGGGACCAAATACTTAACTTTTTTTATACTTTAATACAAATATAAGTTAATTTGTCCCAATAATTTTGGTCCTCTAAAATGGGGGGATTATGTACAGAAAGTGCTGTAATTTCTAAACAGTTCACCCAATATGGCAAAAAATACCCTCAAATTAAAGTTGACAGTCTGCACTCTAACCTCATTGTATCATTTCAAATCCAAAGTACTGGAGTACAGAACAAAAACAACAACAAATGTGTCACTGTCCCAATACTTTTGGAGCGCACTGGAAGTCGAATTTTCACTTAGTCATGCATTTAGGCCCCATAAGGTAGTTAGCGCTGTGAAGCGTAGCTTCGGTGGTACTAAAGGCGTCTTTTCTTATTTGGCTGCCATATACGATTCTAGTGCTGATGAAATAATTGAAACGTATTCCCACCCATCAAAATTGTCTTGTGTGTTGAGTAGTGAACTTACACCTCAAACGGTTGGGTTTTGCTAATGTTAATCATGTCTCATTCATTGAATTGAGTGCTCTGAACTGAGTGTTTGTGAGGTTGAATGTGTAATCAAGAGAAGTTTTACAACATTTTCAGGCCATGGAGGTTTTAGTCTGACACAACCTATAAAACAAATAAACAAGTTATCATTTATTCATACTGTGAGTCTCAAACATCCACTCAGTGTCAATGATGCAAGGATATCTGAGACATGTCTCCCTGGGTGCATCCCAAATGGCACCCTATTCCCTATAAAGTGCACTGCTGTCTTTATTGCTGATAAAAAAGTAGTGCAATGTGTAGGGAATAGGGTGCCATTTGGGACACAGCCTTTTCTATGTATTGCATTCTGCAAGATGGTAGACTGAAAAGACTCATGATGTGTCACACTGCTATGGAGCTGTGTCTTATTTGTAAGGCCTCATTTAGAATCAAGGCAGGCAGGCAGAGTAGAATATTCTAGAATAGAATAGAGCCAGCACGTCATCCTCCAGGTGTGTTGCTTCAACTGTAGATATAGAATGTCATTCTATGACATTCTATTTCTATGGCTTAATACCTCCCTGCTCCAGGTGCCACCATTCCCCGCTCCCGGGTGAAGTTTCCACTATGTACAGATCTAGGATTAGCTTCCCCTCCCCCAATCCCTATTAGTGGAGAAAATGCTAAACTGACCCAGTATACAGTAGGGGCAACTTCACCCTACAACTCATCTGTTTTTGTGGTATCTGTAGTGGCTAATTCATTGTCTGTTTGTTTTGGTGATTATTATTTTTCATTTTCATTACCTTATTTTATTATTTTATTATTTTAATTTTGTTTTTATTTTAATTGTATTTTTCTTTGCTTTTTTTTTTCCGTCAATGTCCATAGTCATATTTATTAACTGTGTGTGTGTGATAAAATGGCAATGATATCAATTACCCATATAATAACAATGATGACATTTATAATTGTAGTAGTGGAGGTGATACTGATTTGATTGATTTGAAATTCATATTAATGATATCAAGTAAATAACCTTAGTGGTAAGAAATACTACACGTATTTATAGTACATCTGAATAAACTCAGTCTGTATTTGAGATGTCAGAGCCACCGCATCTAGTCTCAGGCAGCATCCCAAATGGCACCCTGTTCCCTACATAGTGCACTACTTTTGACAAGGGCCCATAGGGCTCTGGTCAAAATTAGTGCGTGAGGTAGGGAACAGGGTGCCATTTGGGATGCAGACTCGGAGTCAGGCGGCAGATCGATGCAGGCCCAGCCAGTATGTCCTGTTAACAGCTCTACCTGCGTCATCATGACTTCAGATATTTGAGCTACATTTCTCCTCTCCTTTGCCTCAGCCTTGAGTTCTCCTGCACAGGGAGGGGGAGAGCGGGATTGGAGAGTTAGGGCATCGGGGGCGCTGCAAATCAACCCCCACAACGCAATAACACGTCAATGTGTGACTAAAGCCCATCGACATAACAAGCGAGTCAGCTATGGCTACTGCATTTCAATTGATCTTCATTTAGCTAGTATTGCTGTTTTACCATCCAACAACATGGCTGAAAGAGATTGGTTTCATTTTTGCTGCAATATCAGTTGTCTATTTTGATTTCAGCAGTTTGTCTATTTTGTGTGTTTGTCTATTCTGAAATATCTATTTTAATTTGTGATAAAATGCATTTCTCAGTTTAACATAACAGCAAGGTTGCATCCCAAATGGCACCCTATTCCCTATATAATGCCCTACTTTTGACAATGGCCCATAGGGCTCTGGTCACAAGTAGTGCACTATGTAGGAGATATGGTGCCATTTGGGACACGGCCTCAATCACTTCAATGATCGTCTGATGAATTTAACTAAAATTGTGCCTCGCCCTTGCACGAATGTCAATTGAGTCATTGCTATCAGTCATAGTGATTGGTTAGTGGCTCATTTAGATCTCCTGTGGTTATCATATTACACCCCTTCCATGTGACTAGGATGTCTTGTCACGACACAGATGGCCCAAGCTTAACTTGTTTAGGGCCTGCTGTACTGTCATTGAGTTGTGGTCAAATTCATTTAAATATCTATTAATTCACTAAGGGATAAATCCTAACTTCTGCTTCAGTAAAATGTTCAGTTAGTTAGTTGACTTCAGTGGATGTTAGGAATGCCCCTAAAAGGTACTTGAAGAGCTACCTACAGTGAGGGAAAAAGATATTTGATCCCCTGCTGATTTTGTACGTTTGCCCACTGACAAAGACATTATCAGTCTATAATTTTAATGGTAGGTTTATTTGAACAGTGAGAGACAGAATAACAACAAATAAATCCAGAAAAACGCATGTCAAAATTTTTATAAATTGATTTGCATTTTAATGAGGGAAATAAGTATTTGACCCCTCTGCAAAACATTACTTAGTACTTGGTGGCAAAACCCTTGTTGGCAATCACAGAGGTCAGACGTTTCTTGTAGTTGGCCACCAGGTTTGCACACATCTCAGGAGGGATTTTGTTCCACTCCTCTTTGCAGATCTTCTCCAAGTCATTAAGGTTTCGAGGCTGACGTTTGGCAACTCAAACCTTCAGCTCCCTCCACAGATTTTCTATGGGATTAAGGTCTGGAGACTGGCTAGGCCACTCCAGGACCTTAATGTGCTTCTTCTTGAGCCACTCCTTTGTTGCCTTGGCCGTGTGTTTTGGGTCATTGTCATGCTGGAATACCCATCCACGACCCATTTTCAATGCCCTGGCTGAGGGAAGGAGGTTCTCACCCAAGATTTGACGGTACATGGTGCCGTCCATCGTCCCTTTGATGCGGTGAAGTTGTCCTGTCCCCTTAGCAGAAAAACACCCCCAAAGCATAATGTTTCCACCTCCATGTTTGACGGTGGGGATGGGGTTCTTGGGGTCATAGGCAGCATTCCTCCTCCTCCAAACACGGCGAGTTGAGTTGATGCCAAAGAGATCAATTTTGGTCTCATCTGACCACAACACTTTCACCCAGTTCTCTTCTGAATCATTCAGATGTTCATTGGCAAACTTCAGACGGGCCTGTATATGTGCTTTCTTGAACAGGGGCACCTTGCGGGCGCTGCAGGATTACAGTCCTTCACGGCGTAGTGTGTTACCAATTGTTTTCTTGGTGACTATGGTACCAGCTGCCTTGAGATCATTGACAAAATCCTCCCGTGTAGTTCTGGGCTGATTCCTCACCGTTCTCATGATCATTGCAACTCCACGAGGTGAGATCTTGCATGGAGCCCCAGGCCGAGGGAGATTGACAGTTCTTTTGTGTTTCTTCCATTTGCGAATAATCGCACCAACTGTTGTCACCTTCTCACCAAGCTGCTTGGCGATGGTCTTGTATCCCATTCCAGCCTTGTGTAGGTCTACAATCTTGTCCCTGACATCCTTGGAGAGCTCTTTGGTCTTGGCCATGGTGGAGAGTTTGGAATCTGATTGATTGATTGCTTCTGTGGACAGGTGTCTTTTATACAGGTAACAAGCTGAGATTAGGAGCACTCCCTTTAAGAGTGTGCTCCTAATCTCAGCTCGTTACCTGTATAAAAGACACCTGGGAGCCAGAAATCTTTCTGATTGAGAGGGGGTCAAATACTTATTTCCCTCATTAAAATGCAAATCAATTTATACAATTTTTGACATACGTTTGTTTTATGGATTTTGTTGTTGTTATTCTGTCTCTCACTGTTCAAATAAAGCTACCATTAAAATTATAGACTGATCATTTCTTTGTCAGTGGGCAAACGTACAAAATCAGCAGGGAATCAAATACTTTTTTCCCTCACTGTACATAAGGACTCCATAACATTGGCTATTTATAACCCAATAGATACAGATATGTTATGTGCTATGAACGTGTTATGAACCCTTTAACTAAATGTTACCGCCTTCAAGTTAAGAAAGTAATAAAATGTCCATTTTTTTATTGACTTAAATATAAATTAATTTGACCCAAGCCTTGTGAGACAAAAGCAGACCACAATAGGGGCTTGTAGGGTCAGATCTTCACCTCTCTCCCCCCTCCTTCCCCCCATAGAGCCTTTGTATACCTGAGCAACCTGCTCTACCCCGTGCCCCTGGTCCATCGTGTCGCCATAGTGACAGAGAAGGGCGACGTGCGCGGTTTCCTGCGTGTCGGTGTCCAAGCCATCGCTGGTGAGTACTGTTCTATCTACACACACCCTTTTTGACAAGACTCCTCAGACCTGGGCCTGTATTCACACAGCGTCTCAGAGCAGGAGTGCTGATCTAGGATCTCCTGTACATATAATCATTATCTAAATGGCTAACTTATCCTAGATCAGCACTCTTACTCTGAGACACTTTGTGAATTAAATTGGTATGTTATATAATGTCACATAATTGTCCAGTCCTGCTCCTTGAGTATGTATCCAGGTAAAATGTAACAGAATGTGTGTATAGAACGCGACATGGCACCCTAATCCCAGACAGCATTCACTAAAACCACAACAAAACAATTGTATATGAAAATACCAGGTCTAACTCTACAATGAATCAGATGACTGGAATAAATGTTCAAAGGCCTCAGAGAGATTTCTAGCGACTGAGTGAGAGAATTCCCAGAGTTGACTGCTTTGTGCTCTTTGAAGAGATGAGTCTGCTCTTGTCAACACACCACGTTAATAACTGGGGCTGACGAACACGATGACAATGACTTGTATAATGTGTCTTTGTAGCTGACGAGGAGGCCCCAGACTACGGGTCAGGAGTGAGACAGTCGGGAACTGCCAAGATATCCTTTGACGATGAGTACTTCAAAAAGGTAAGGCCACGTAAGACGAGCTCATTTAAAAAACTGTTATGGCCGGTTTCCCCGAACACATATTGAGCCTAGTCCTGGACTCAAAAGCATGTTCAATGGGGATTCTCCATTCAAAGTTCTTTTTAGTCCAGGACTAGGCTTCATCTTGTCTACTTGCAATATTCCATACACCTTCCAATACATGTGTCTTTTGATCAGAAACATTTTCCCAGTGTTTTTTAAAAACGGTTTCACTACCAAAGCAGCTATATGCTAATATCTCTCTCTCTCCCTCTCGCTCTGTCTTTCTCTCACACTCTCCCTCTCTCTCTCTCCCTCTCTCTCTCTCCCTCCCTCCCATCAGAATGACTTTCCTTCCACGGTCATGACACGCTCTGGCCTCTCTCTGGAGGAGCTGCGCTTCGTGGAGGGCCAGGGTCAGAGTTCAGAGATCATCACCCCCTCCGAGGAGCAGAACAGAATCAATGACATGGGTAAGGAAGGAGAGACCAGCACAGCTCCAAGACCCTCACCTCTCCTCTCGTAAATATTAGGCCTACATCTCGCTGGCCAATGGCGTGAATAGAGTGGGAATTAATAGTGGCAGACAGTGTTGTCCATAGATTATTTTCTAGGTGGGGCTTTGCAAAGGCACCCAAATTAACAACCAGGGCCTCTTAAACCAACATTTTCAACCGAATGTTTGTAGGCGGGGGAGGGGTGGATGGCGTCCCGCCTCTACAATGATAGGGAAACACTGGTGGCAGATGTTCTTATTGAAGGTGGAGGATGAATTTAAGTAGTTTGATACAAGTGTTGGAAATGGCCTTCAGTCATACAAATCTAATTGATTTCAATTACTAAATGTCATTGGCTTATGTGAAACTGAGTCTAATGTGACATCTGGTTGGTGCAGTCATATTTAGTTTCCCTGCGAAGCAATTTACATTAGTCCACATAAGCCATTTGATAGAAAAACATGATAAACTTTGACCATAAACCTTCCTGTCATTGTACACTTTATTGAGCTTTTGAACTGTAGATAAAGAGGGAAGGAGGAGAGGGAGAGAGAAAAAGATGGAGGGAAGTAGAGAGAGTAGGTGTAGCAGTTAAAGCCGCTGTCTCTGGCACATGTATGGTCGCCCTGCCTGCGTTGGATAGAATCCCGGCCCCGTCAGCCTTCTCACCTCTGCATCTCCCTTCCCCTTATACCTGTCTCTATCAATAAAACAATAAAGTCCTAAAAAATATTGAGGATAACACAAAACATTTTACATTTTGTTTGTCTTGGTATGCATCTGTATATGTCCACTGCATGTTCTAACCCTCTGCTGTGGGTGTTTTGTGACAGACCTGAAGCTGGATCAAGGGAACTTGGTTGACCCTAAGCTCAGTCGCGGCGAAGGGCTGGCCGGCCAACTGGAGGTGGGCAGTATCTTTACCTTCCGTGTGACTGTGCTCCAAGCCAGCGGCATTCTCCCGGAGTATGCTGACATCTTCTGCCAGTTCAAGTGAGTCTGTCAGCTGTCATCAGATCACACAGGCCTTGGAGCACACGTGCACCGCTGCCATACTGATCTAGGATCAGGGCTGTTGTGAAGTTGTCAAAGCATGCGTATACAGTCGTATGAAAAAGTTTGGGCACCCCTCTGAGGCTGCATAATAATAATTGTCACAGAAAATGATCACAGTGGCATGCCATTCATTTTCTAATAAAAGCTGAGTACTGGGGTATTGTCCAGACAAAGATTTTTAGTGTAGCAATATTAAGTTGTATGAAATTAAATCAGATGTGAAAAATAGGCTATGCAAAAATGTGGGCACCCTTGTCATTCTGTTGATTTGAATACGTGTAACTACTTAGCACTGATTAATTGGAACACACAATTGGTTTGGTGAGCTCATTAAGCCTTGAACTTCATAGACAAGTGCATCCAATCATGAGAAAAGGTATTTAAGGTGGCCAATTGCAAGTTGTTGTTCTCTTTGACTCTCCTCTGAAGAGTGGCAACATGGGGGCCTCAAAACAACTCTCAAATGACCTGAAAACAAAGATTGTTCAACATTATGGTTTAGGGGAAGGCTACAAAAAGCTATCGCAGAGATGTAAGCTGTCAGTGTCCACTGTGAGGAACATAGTGAGGAAATGGAAGACCACAGGCACAGTTCTTGTTAAGGCCAGAAGTGGCAGGCCAAGTAAAATATCGGAGAGACAAAGGCGAAGGATGGTGAGAACGGTCAAAAACAGCCCACAGACCACCTCCAAAGACCTACAACATCATCTTGCTGCAGATGGTGTCACTGTGCATCGTTCAACAATTCAGCGCACTTTGCACAAGGAGAAGCTGTACTGGAGAGTGATGCGGAAGAAGCCTTTTCTGCACACACGCCACAAACAGAGTCGCTTGAGGTATGCAAACGCACATTTGGACAAGCCGGCTTCATTTTGGAATAAGGTGCTGTGGACTGATGAAACAAAGATTGAGTTATTTGGTCATAACAAGGGGCGTTATGCATGGCAGCAAAAGAACACAGTGTTCCAAGAAAAACACTTGCTACCCACAGTAACATTTGGTGGGGGCTCCATCATGCTGTGGGGCTGTGTGGCCAGTGCCGGTACTGGGAATATTGTTAAAGTTGAGGGTCGCATGGATTCCAATATCAGCAGATTCTTGGGAATAATGTTGAAGAATCAGTCACAAAGTTGAAGTTACGCCGGGGATGAATATTTCAACAAGACAACGACCCAGAACACTGCTCAAAATCTACCCGGGCATTTATGCAGAGGAACAAGTACAATGTTCTGGAATGGCCATCCCAGTCCCCAGACCTGAATATCATTGAGAATCTGTGGGATGATTTGAAGTGGGCTGTCCATGCTCGGCAACCATCAAACCTAACTGAAGTGGAGATGTTTTATAAGGAGGAATGGTCCAAAATACCTTCATCCAGAATCCAGACACTCATTAGAGGCTATAGGAAGTGTCTAGAGGCCGTTATTTTAGCAAAAGTAGGCTCTACTAAATATTGATGTGATTTTTCTGTTGGGGTGCCCAAATTTATGCACCTGTCTAATTTCGTTTTGATGCATATTGCAAATGTTCTTTTAATCCAATAAACCTAATTTCACTACTGAAATATTACTGTGTCCATCAGTTATTTGATAGATCAAAATGAAATTGCTGATCCAAACACCCAATTATTTATAAATGGAAATCATGGAAATTGTCAGGGGTGGGCAAACTTTTTCATACGACTGTATATACTGTATATGGAACAGAAGTACTGATAACACTTTACTTAAGGCTGACCGGTATAATGGTTTATTACTTGTTATAAGCATGTATGATCCTGTATGATGTCTTATTAAAAGGCTTTTATAATATGTTATAATGCTTATATATGTTAATATATACCAAATTCAAAATGGCTGTTATTTAGTCAGGATCATTATCATACCTGTTGGCTTTAATTTGTATAAACCTTTTAGTAACACTTTAATTAAATGTACAGTATTATTATTAGTAGTAGTAATAATCAAGCGTCATCTGTTGGATCCTCAGTTTCCTCCATCGTCACGACGAAGCCTTCTCCACAGAGCCTCTAAAAAACACTGGGAAAGGCACTCCTCTGGGCTTCTATCACGTCCAGAATGTGAGTACACACACACATACACAACACGCACGCTCACGCACACACCACACAAACATCTCACACACACAAAGGTATAGAAATATGACCCAAAGCTGATTCATTTTCCCACACCCTCCTGTTGTGTAGATTTCAGTGGAGGTGACTGAGTCGTTCATTGAGTACATCAAGACCAAGCCCATCGTGTTTGAGGTGTTTGGTCACTACCAGCAGCACCCTCTGCACCTGCATGGTCAGGACCTGATAAGGTAGGTTGAATGGTCACGTGCCCACATACAGTATACTCCAGGGTGAAGTTTTCCCTAGATACAGATCTAGGATCAGCTTCCCCTCCCCCAATCCTATAGGGGAAAATGCTAAACTGATCCAAGATCAGCATCTAGGAGCTACTTCATGCTACACCCCCACATACCTTTATTAATGATTAATTGGTAATGATGGGTAGTCTAGTAGTAAAGTACGGCCCACACTCAACTGTCAATTGGTTAACAAGGTCTTTTGCTACTGTAGTACTACATAATTTTTTTCCAGACCAGCACACCATGAATTAATTCGAATTCAAAAGGCTTTGTCTATCAAATTAACATTAGCCAAAAAACATCACATTAAAACCTCTAGTAATGACATCAAACAAAAACATCCAAAAAGCAATTCAATTCAAAATACTAAATGTGTAGTGTTGTTGTTTTTTTTGTTTTTTTGTTTGTAGTCCTCCTCAGACTGCCAGGAAGTACTACCCTATTCCAATGCCCCTGTCTAAGCCAGGTAAGGATTCTACAGGTACCACATCGACAGTATCGATAGAAATGTGTGAACAGCATTGCAGCAAATCATGCCATCCCTTTATCCATTTTTTTTTTAAATTGCCATCACACTGTATATCCAGTCACAACTGCATGTCTCATATTTTCCCCTCTTTCTTTCTTTCCTTTTTTTTTTCCTTTTTGTTTTATGACCCGTTTCCTTGTCACTACTCGCCCACACCCTCCATTTGTCCTTCCCATCCAACTCAATCCATATCCATCTCTAATTTCGCTCTCACAAACTCTCTCTTCCACTCACCCACATTTTTCTTACTCCCTCTCTCTTCCATTCACTCCCACCCCTACGCCCTATGACCAACCCTTCACCCTGTCTCAGACCACGCCCGTAAAATAGAGTTGATTCGCTACCTGATGACTGGCTCCGTGCCCGGCCAGGTGCTGGACACACTGTCCGAGCATGCCAATGCCCTGGCATCCACGGCAGTGGCCAGCCTGGAGGACGGGGCAGACCAGCTCTCTCACTTCCCCTTCCTTCCCATGCCCACCAGCCCCGTGCTGACTGTGCCCAGGCACCATGGTTGGTACAGCGGGCATTAGAACCGTGAGAGTAGTAGCTGGTAGTAGCAGCCGTATGCGCTGTACTAAGCCTGGTCCCAGATCTGTTTGTGCTGCATCGACAACGACCATAGGAGAGTTGACTATATACACACAAACAGATGTGGAATCAGGCTACTTTACTGTAGCCCTGTGCTGTGCTTTTGTCGTGCTTTGTCTACTGGCTGTAGTTGGCATAGGCCAGTGTGGTTCAGTGATCTGGTGCATCCTAGTTTTGTTTAGCCCAATTCTAGTCCTAGTCCCCTCCATTGTCTCTCACAGACCAACCAGCCACATACCTTTTACTTTTAAGGCTGGGAATTACCAGGGACCTCACGATACGATATCACCATACTTAGGTGCCGATACGATATGTATTGGGATTCTCATGATTCTATATGTATTGCGATTCGATACTGTGATTTTATTGCAATTTGATGTTCCAAACATATTACTCACTATATGTCTGCTGCAGAGAGATGAGACAGCATGAGAATACAGGCCTAAAGCCATTTGGGCTGTAGTTCCATTACCTAAACACACACAAACAGAAAAACAAATGTTTCCTTTGAACAATCTCTGACATTGTTGAGTGAATAGTTGAATAGCAAATCTCTATCTGCTGTAGAGGAATGATGCTGTTAAAAGCAGAGGTAATCCTGATGTGGCAGGTTGATAACTCAGCAGGATACAGCTTCTAATGTGTAATCTGTGATTTTGCCTCCCAACGGCCCCTAGTGTAGAGCTTGTATAGAATTGAGAGTATTGTAATTGCCTTTGAACATGCAGTGTTGTTGTAGTGTCACTCCCTGATAGTATTTAAATGGAGATTGCAGTGTTCCCGGCTTAATTCAATTGTAATGGATTTAGAATTGGACAGTTGTTTTGTACCTTGCGAAATAAGCCCTTTGAGTACAGTAAGGAGTATTGATTAGTGAATGTTTACAGGCTAATAATAACACATTATTGTGTTACAGTAGCTACCGCATGTAATCATCACTATCCGTTTAACCATTGTTTACGTACGCCACATCTCCAAGAAAAAAGTGTGTAATAGTACTGTACATGATCATCCTCCCTTTTCATATTTATTTTTCCAAGAAATGCAGTGTTCATGTTTCTCTCTCGAGTTTATTTCAGCAGCCCCCTCTGTTACCACATGCTGTTGAGATTGTCTAATGGGTTTGTGTGCGTGTGTCTCACGCTCGCTCTCTCTCTCTCTGTCGCTCTCTGTCGCTGTCTCCGTGTGTGTTTCCCCCCCCAGTTCCAGCGACCAAGCTCAACACCATCAGCAAGTCCAACCTGGGCCAGTGTGTGAGCAAGTACGACCTGCTGGTGTGGTTCGAGATCAGCGAGCTGGAGCCCACCGGAGAGTGAGTGTCCAAGTCTGCACGCACTCATGGTCGCATGCACACATGGGCACACAAACACAGGGGTTTGGCTATTCCAGACTTATGTTTGTCCTGGCTTCTTCCCGTAGGTACATACCAGCTGTGGTGGATCACAGTGGAGGACTGCCCTGCCATGGAACCTACCTACTGCATCAGGTACAGTACAGTGACCCCTCAGGGCCCATATTCATAAAGTGTCTCAGCGTAGAAGTGCTGATCTAGTATCAGTTTTGCCTTTTTGATCATAATGAATAATATTACGTGGACAGGGGGACCTGATCCTAGATCAGTACTCCTACTCTTATGGATATGGGTCCTGGACAACACCCTTATTAACTCATACTGCGATGTCTCAAGTCACTCTGGACATATTAGCACTTTGCCTATGTATCTCCAATCTATTTGATCTTCTCCTAAACTAACAAACTGAGAGCTGTACATGAATTGTACATGTATGGTACATAATTCTACATGTATGCTATTTTGTACATTTCAACTGCTCAAATGCTACATAAAAGTACTGTACATTTGATATTGTACCATTGTGATTATAGTAGTGATTTGACTGTTGATGATGCTATCGATGTTGATATTGACTATTGACACGTTCACGGTCATTGTGTCTGGCCTACTGTGATACTGACTGATACGGTTTGCTTGTGCTGCAGGGGATCCAGCGCCGGATCACCGTCACTCTCATCCACGAGAAGGGCAGCGAGCTCCACTGGAAGGACGTGCGTGAGCTGGTTGTTGGTGAGTGCTTCAAAATAAAGGCAATACACTATCCAACTGAATGAATGAATTGTATTTGACAAATGTAAAATACATGTGGAGTTGCCTCAGCTATGTGAGTACCACAATACACAACTGGCCTTGCCTTTTTGTGGAGAGACCATTTAGCTGGAATTCAGTTTTACAATGGTCCCAGACAAGATCATTGAAAAGGGGCAACTATTTTAAATTATGTCCAAATAAACTGAAAGAAAAGCTATTCATAAAAATAAATACAAGATCACTTCATGAATTGACTGATTTTAATTCCAATTGACCCCAACCCCGATTTCTGACGACGCTACCGGAGAGACAGAACTTCATCATCATGACAACATCCTGTGTTGCTTGCTTCCTTAGGTCGGATCAGGAACAAGCCAGAGGTGGACGACTCGGCAGCAGATGCCGTCCTGTCCCTCAACATCATCTCGGCCAAAAATATCAAATCATCCCACAACGCTAACAGGTACGCCAGTAGCACCATCAGCTTGCGTTAGCTCCCAAAGCGAATGCCTAGGCTTTAGCTCATCGTGTGGAGGGTGCAGGCATAGAAGATAATCATACAATATAAGAGTATTATATCCATACAAATCTTTATATAAATGTTCTTATAGGGTCGTTATCCCAGATACAGATTATGCCTACTCCTGGACTAAGAAGTATGTTCAATGGAGATTCTCAATTAAAAGTGCCTTTGTAATCCTCTGTAGCTCAGCTGGTAGAGCATGGCGCTTGTAACGCCAAGGTAGTGGGTTCGATCCCCGGGACCACCCATACACAAAAATGTATGCACGCATGACTGTAAGTCGCTTTGGATAAAAGCGTCTGCTAAATGGCATATTATTATTATTATTATAATCCAAAACTAGACTCTGTGTCCGAGAAACCGGACTATAGTGTATTTATATAGTAGTCTAGGAATTCTAATTATATATTATTACATCTTTGTTGTACTGTATAGTAAAATGAATACAGAAATATGGTAATGATATTGAATTGGCATTCTGTGAAAAGTAGAAACGGCATCCAACGGAGAACAATGTATTTTCATCACACCATCAACGGGTCACGTAATATTTAAAGTGTGTGAAATATCATTGCAATCTTGTTTAGTTTTTTGAGAACCGATTTATTTTTGAGAACCGATTTAAGAAGGTGACAGGATCTTTTTTCTACGACATAATCATTGACATATACATCAAAAATTCACAACATAATACCAGTTTTGTTATTCATAACAGAATAACTGTGTCCATGTAGTTTCATTAGAAGGAATCGTCACTTTCTTTCAAGGTTGCCTTTCCTGGCTAGAAGAGACAGCAGAAATGATGGAATTTCCCATTTCAGTGTTGTGCGCATATGAGCTCAGGCATTGCATGTATGTACACAGACATCATTGCATGTGGGCAATCACATTCATTTCCAGTGCTAACATTTTGCTCTCTTTCTTGATTTGCTCCATTGTTTCTGTTGCTTGACTCTCTGCGTTCTTTCTCTTCTTTTTTCTTTTTTTTCTCCTGCTGCGGCTGGACTCTTGATTTTGCTCAGGCTGTGTCTTGATAAGGATATTGCTAGGTACCAGCAACCAGGGAACATAAAGCCTCTTCTCTGAAATAAGCTTTATGGCTCTCTTTGGCTTTTTATAGAAATTGGGGTATATCCTAACTTGCATTTAAATCAAAGTTGTTACTTAGTCATGCATTGATGTCAATGGGAATTTAGGATTTGCCCCTTAGCCTGTAGTAATAACTCTTAATTTGTGTTCTCTTGTCTTACACCTTTTGATATCACCCCCATTGGTAAATATCCTTCTAGCCAGTACAAACCTATTAGCTTGGAATTGTTATTTTCTAGAGCTCTTTGATTGCCCTCATCTGTCAATTAATCACATTGTAAAACGAAGAAGGTTTCATCCTTTATCATGGCTATCATAGCCTATCATTCACGCTTTTGATAACTGAGGCTTTTCTGACTTTGGAAAAGGTCACACTGCTAATTTCTTCTGTCTTGCACAAGAGCAATAGGAATCTAAAGACGAATGACTGTAAAACATGCTATCCTATGGCTTAGTGGTGACTTTTCGGTATCACTCCATATGCAAGCTTAGCTACTAGCTATTAAACGTCCTTGTAGCATGCTCTACTAGTCTATTACACCTGCGTAGCGTCTGTGTCAGCCATCGTGAGTCATAGAGGGATGAGGGCAGGGTCAGGCGAGAAAAGGGAAGAGAGTGCCCCCTGGTGGTTAGTAGAGAGACAGTTTGTACATGAGTTGTGAAAAATACACCTTCTTCCTCTACTTTCATTGGAAACCATTGGTCTGTTGCTCATTGACGGACCCCAACAAAGTCAATTAATAAAACTTTATTGTCCCCAGAGGGAAAACAAGTAAAAAATATAACACAGTTGTCACAAACGAGTAGGTGCAGCACATATTTACATTGACATTTTAGTAATTTTGCAGTTACGCTCTTATGCAGAGCGACTTGCAATCAGAGCCATTCGTTATTTTAATCAACCGCACAATCTGACTGTGGAGATGGTGACATTTTAAGAGTAGAAGTACACAGTGGAATGAACCCTTCCGTAAATGAGGTGTCCCCACTCCAATGTGCATCCCAAATGGCACCCTATTCCCTGTTTAGTGCACTATATAGGGAATAGGGTGCCATTTGGGACACAAACCTGGTCCTCAATGGTGGAGGTGTCTGGCGTGTCTGCTGACTTTCTCCCTCTCTAGCGCTCTATAGATCATGTATTGGTCTGGGAGTCAACTCAACTCAACTGGTGACCCAGGTCTAAATCAGTGACTTTAAAAGGCAAGATGCCTGTTGGTTAGTCTCTGCTAATGTAGCATGCTTAATTTTCCCTCATAGGAATTCAATGGGCCCTTATCTATAAAATGCTTAAGCACTCAAAGCTCTTGACAAGCTTTTCACACTCGTGTTGTAGCGTGACACCTGCTCAAGGCGTGCGTGCTGTTTAGGTCACCTCCCATGCGTTTTCTCACACCTAGTCGTCACCAGGACTGCATGTGTGTAGGAGTGCTTTCCCTTCAACAACCTCAGTTGAGGGATTAATTGGTGTGTCATATAATGCTTAGAATCCAGTATTATCCCCTCTTCAATTCAAGTCAATTTTAATAAAGCTTTATTTTCCCCTCAGAAGCAGTTAGAAAAAGCAAGTTAGGTTACAAATATTAAATATTAACATTTGTACCGTATCTCTGGGCTCTATTTTCAACTCTAGTATATGCTTGGGTAACAGTTGGGGAGAGGGAGCAGTAGATAACACTCAGTTACTTCAGTTACTCCCCATGGTTACTTATTAACTTCCCATAATATGTGGCTGGTTGTGTCCACATGCCATACAGACCTTTGTCTATTACGACATTATGTTCTGGTAACATTTCCAAAGTAGTTTCAAAATACTACTAGCATTATCATAGCAATAGTTGATGTGTAATATGGCTACCTGAATTGACCACAACCCGGGTGATTTTTCTCTAACCTTCAGTGTGTAGACTACTCGGCTACATCAGGCTATATTATGAACTGTTGGTTGCTTACTCTCACACCTCTATTGTGATATAAAGGAGAGAACCTTGCAGGAACCATAACCAGCCTCATTGTGACACTGAACAGCCATTTTAGAAATCTCCCACAAAGTTGAAATGATCCACCAGGGTGCGTCCAAAATGCCGCCTATTCCCTATACAGTGCACTACTTTTAGCCAGAGCCACAGGCACCCTATTGCCTATAATACACTACTTCTAGTGCACAAAAGTATTGTGCTTTATAGGAAATGGGTTGTCATTTCAGACGTAGCCCCAGAGTCTGTAAACGTGGAGATAGTAACTGACCTCTTTCGTCTTTCCCTCTCAGGACCTTCTACAGGTTTGAGGCTGTGTGGGACAGCTCTCTGCACAACTCCCTCCTGCTCAACCGAGTCACTCCCTACGGAGAAAAGATCTTCATGACCCTGTCTGCATACCTGGAGGTCAGCCCTGTCTGCCATTTTGATTTTACTGTAATCAACAACCTAGGGAATCCTGTCTCAATAATGAATTGGAATTGTGTAATTGTGTATTAATAAAACATAATCTGCTGTCTCTAGGCCTACTGTTTAGGATTTAGGGATTTTAGGAACACATTAAACGATATCTAGAATAGATAAATGTCAAGGACACTTGTAGGTTAATCAAACTTATAAACATGTACTACTACAATACAGATATTCTGATGGGGCCATACTTAAAAGGGCCGCATACATGTGAATAAGGATGTATTGTGAATAAGGATGTATAACAGCCCCATAAGCACTACATACAGTAGTGTTACAGTATCCACTCCAGTCATTTAGTGTTCACAGTATGGACTGACCCTCTGCACTGAGGAGCTTGAGTGCTAACATGCTTACCGTTTCTCCACTCCACAGCTCGACCACTGCATTCAGCCTGCCATTATTACCAAAGACATCTGCATGGTCTTCTACTCCCGAGATGCCAAGATCTCCCCTCCCCGCTCCCTGAGGAACCTCTTTGGAAGCGGCTACTCCAAGACCCCTGACTGGTAAGGCATCTGACAGTCATTTTGTGTCCATCTTCTATATGACTTGTAGACAGCTGTCAGATATCTATGTTAACAAATAAGCAGCTGTCAGCCATTTTGTGTCCACCCTTTATATGACTCATAGACAGCTGTCAGATATCTCTGTTGAAAAATAAGTAGCTGTCATCCATTTTGTGTCCACCCTTTAAATGACTCCAGTAGAGGCTGCTTAGGGGAGGACAGCTCATAATAATGGCTGAAACGGCGCAAATGGAATGGCATCAAACACATGTGTTTGACATATTTTATACCATTCCACTTATTCCGCTCCAGCCATTACCACGAGCCCGTCCTCCCCAATTAATGTGCCACCAACCTCCTGTGTATGACTCATACACAGCTGTCGGATATCTATGTTGACAAATAATCAGCTGTCAGCCATTTTGTGTCCAGCCTTAAGATACAACCTTGATGAACAACGCCCTAATATAACCTCTTGTGTTCCGTATTACAGCAACAGAGTGACTGGCATCTATGAGCTGAGCTTGTGCAAGATGTCTGACACAGGAAGCCCAGGTTAGTGCAATCTCTCTCTCGCTCTCTCTCTCACTCTGTGTGACATCTCGAAACACTTATGTTGATATTCGAATAAAAGCACAGTTGGTAGTTAGCCTATCTATGAACCCAACTTAATAGCACAGAGGTTGGCTAAAATATACCCCCCAAACATACTCCTCTCCACTCCCCTGTTCTCCATAGCGCTTGTGTGTGCTTGGTATAAGTCCAGACAAACAGTTGTGTATTGATATAACAGCCACCCTCAGAGGGAGTGACTTTTCTACTTTTGTATGTCTTTGTCAGAGCTGGTTTAAATTCATGACAGGATCCAAGCTGTCTGCCTGCTCTCTCTCTCTATAGCTCTGTCTCTCTCGCCCACCTCTCCCCCCTTCCACTCTATACTGACAAGTGCGTGTTTGTTTGCTACTCAGGTATGCAGCGGAGGAGGAGGAAGATTCTGGACACGTCTGTGGCCTATGTCCGGGGAGAGGAGAACCTGGCTGGCTGGAGGCCCAGAGGAGACAGCCTCATCTTGGAGCACCAATGGGAGCTGGAGAAAATGGAGCAGCTGCATGAGGTGACTAGGCACTATGAGAGCGTTGAGGGCATAGGGAAGCCTGGAATGGCAACAACAAAAAAAGTATATGTAGTGCCCTACTTTAGACCAGAGCCATATTCCCTATATAATGGCTTATTTTTGCTAGAGCCCTATGTCCTGTATAATGCATTACTTTTGACCAAAGCCCTATTCCCTGTATAGTGCACAATTGAATCAAATTAATGTAAAACTCTCTCACTCTTCATTGCTTTTCCTTCCCCCTCCAGGTGGAGAAGACGCGTCACCTGCTGCTGCTGAGAGAGAAGCTGGTGGAGACTGCTCCAGCTACAGGCCCTGGGGGGCCCACCAGCAAGTCCCTGAGCGAGTCACTGTCCCCTAGCATGAGCAGTGGCACCCTGAGCACCTCCACCTCCATCTCCTCCCAGATCTCCAGCACCACCTTCGAGAGTGCCATCACACCCAGCGAGAGCAGTGGCTACGACTCGGCCGACATCGAGAGCCTGGTGGACCGCGAGAAGGAGCTGGCCACCAAGGTGAGGAGGGAGGGAGGACAGGAGATGGGGAAAAAAAGATCATTTGATAAAAGGGCTGAAATGGGGAGGGATTAACCTGAACTTGTCCAATAAGAAACACTTGTTTTCAGTGCTACGGTTTGCTACAGTGTGCACTAATAAATACACCCCAGGGTTATATTCATTAGGGCATGCAACAGAAAAAAAGTCCCAAGTAATCCCTCTCTGTTCCAGTCCATTTTCTTCCGTTTGGTGCCTAATGAATATGACCCTGCTTTAATGGTTCACATACTGTACCTGCTAAAGATGTACTGCACATGGTCCCCAACAAAGAAATGAGAATAAAACCATATGGGGTGTTCCAGAAAGCCGGGTCAATAAGTTGGCCAGCTAACTGACCTAAATACAGTGCATCTGGAAAGTATTCAGACCCCTTGACTTTTTCCACATTTTGTTACGTTGCAGCCTTATTCTACAATGGATTAAATTGTCCCCCCCCCTTATCAATCTACACAGAATACCCCATAATGACAAAGCAAAAACAGGTTTTTAGACATTTCTGAAAATGTATTAAAAATACAAAATGGAAATATCACATTTACATAAGTATTCAGACCCTTTACTCAGTACTTTGTTGAAGCACCTTTGGCAGCGATTACAGCCTTGAGTCTTCTTGGGTATGACACTACAAGCTTGGCACACCTGTATTTGGGGAGTTTCTCCCATTCTTCTCTGCAGATCCTCTCCAGCTCTGTCAGGTTGGATGGGGAGCGATGCTGCACAGCTATGTTCAGGTCTCTCCAGAGATGTTCGATTGGGTTCAAGTCCGTGCTCTGGCTGGGCCACTCAAGGACATTCAGAGACTTGTCCCAAAGCCACTCCTGCGTTGTCTTGGCTGTGTGCTTAGGGTCGTTGTCCTGTTGGAAGGTGAACCTTCGCCCCAGTCTGAGGTCCTGATCTGGAGCAGGTTTTCTCTGTACTTTGCTCCATTCATCTTTCCCTCGATCCTAACTAGTCTCCCAGTCCATGCCGCTGAAAAACATCTCCACAGCATGATGCTGCCACTCCATGGTCTGAGAGTCTTTAGGTGCCTTTTGGCAAACTCCAAGCGAGCTGTCATGTGCCTTTTACTGAGGAGTGGCTTCCGTCTGGCCACTCTACCATAAAGGCCCGATTGGTGGAGTGCTGCAGAGATGGTTGTTCTTCTGGAAGGTTCTCCACAGAGGAACTCTGGAGCTCTGTCAGTGACCATCGGGTTCTTGGTCACCTCCCTGACCAAGGCCCTTCTCCCCCGATTGCTCTAGGAAGAGTCTTGGTGGTTCCAAACTTCTTTCATTTAAGAATGATGGAGGCCACTGTGTTCTTGGGGACCTTCAATGCCATTTTTTGGTACCCTTCCCCAGATCTGTGCCTCGACACAATCCTGTCTCGGAGCTCTACGGACAATTCCTTCGACCTCATGGCTTGTTTTTTGCTCTGACATGCACTGTCAACTGTGGGACCTTATATAGACGGATGTGTGCCTTTCGAAATCATGTCAATGAAATTTACCACAGGTGGACTCCAATCAAGTTGTAGAAACATCTCAAGGATGATCAATGGAAACAGGATGCACCTGAGCTCAATTTTGAGTCTCATAGAAAAGGGTCTGAATACTTATGTAAATAAGGTATTTCTGTTTATTTTATTTTATATACATTTGCAAAACTTTCTAAAATCCTGTTTTTGCTTTGTCATTATGCGGTATTGTGTATAGATTGATTAGGAAAAAAATAATTTTATCCATTTTAGAATAAGGCTGCAATGTTACAAAATGTGGAAAGAGTTGAGGGGACTGAATACTTTCCGAATGCACTGTATGCTAACATTTTGGAAATATAAGCTTGAGATTGCCACGATATAATTGTCTTAACAGCTAATAATGAACCAGATAATTAAAGAGTTATAGCCTGCTTTCTCGACCAGCCCACTGGTTTGTTGTGAATCTCAGCCCAGCGCTGGAATAACTCATAGTAGAAAACTGTATTATCCCTCAAGGGGAAATTGGTTTTGCGGCAGAATCATATCCATAAAGTTAACAACAGACATTTCAGAACGATTAGGACACAATGTACACAACATAACATGCACCATATTATCTGTTGTCCTGTAGTGCCTCCGCCTTCTGACCCACACCTTCAACAGTGAATACAACCAGGTGTGCAACAGCATCAGTGACTGCAAGGTGAGACCGTAGAGGGGGAGAACAAGCTGCAATGCCTTGAGAGAGAGAGAGAGAGAGAGCTGCTGAGGGGTGGACGGCTCATAATAATGTTGTTCTGTTGACTCAATTTCAACAAATCAGTGTGGTTACTACTGTCTTAATCTCCCTTCCTTGTTTCTTTTCTGTCTCTCTCTTGCTCTCTCGCTCGGTCGCTCTCTGTCTATCTCTCTCTCTCTATATAGCTGTCAGACATCTCCCCCATGGGCCGTGACCCTTCGGTGACAAGCTTCAGCAGTGCCACCCTCACCCCCTCCTCCACCTGCCCCTCTCTGGCCGACTCCCGCTGTGGCTCCATAGATCAGAAGTAAGACTCCATTATAGTAGAATATGGTAGAATACATATACAGTGGGGAGAACAAGTATTTGATACCCTGCCGATTTTGCAGCTTTTCCTACTTACAAAGCATGTAGAGGTCTGTAATTTTTATCTTAGGTACACTTCAACTGTGAGAGACGGAATCTAAAACAACAATCCAGAAAATCACATTGTATGATTTTTAAGTAATTTATTTGCATTTTATTGCATGACATAAGTATTTGATCACCTACCAACCAGTAAGAATTCCGGCTCTCACAGACATGTTATTTTTCTTTAAGAAGCCCTCCTGTTCTACACTCATTACCTGTATTAACTGCACCTGTTTGAACTCGTTACCTGTATAAAAGACACCTGTCCACACACTCAATCAAACAGACTCCAACCTCTCCCCAATGGCCAAGACCAGAGAGCTGTGTAAGGACATCAGGGATAAAATTGTAGACCTGCACAAGGCTGGGATGGGCTACAGGATAATAGGCAAGCACCTTGGTGAGAAGGCAACAACTGTTGGCGCAATTATTAGAAAATGGAAGAAGTTCAAGATGACGGTCAATCACCCTCGGTCTGGGGCTCCATGCAAGATCTCACCTCGTGGGACATCAATGATCATGAGGAAGGTGAGGGATCAGCCCAGAACTACACGGCAGGACCTGGTCAATGACCTGAAGAGAGCTGGGACCACAGTCTCAAAGAAAACCATTAGTAACACACTACGCCGTCATGGATTAAAATCCTGCAGCGCACTCAAGGTCCCCCTGCTCAAGCCAGCGCATGTCCAGGCCCGTCTGAAGTTTGCCAATGACCATCTGGATGATCCAGAGCAGGAATGGGAGAAGGTCATGTGGTCTGATGAGACAAAAATAGAGCTTTTTGGTCTAAACTCCACTCGCTGTGTTTGGAGGAAGAAGAAGGATGAGTACAACCCCAAGAACACCATCCCAACCGTGAAGCATGGAGGTGTAAACATCATTCTTTGGGGATGCTTTTCTGCAAAGGGGACAGGACGACTGCACCGTATTGAGGGGAGGATGGATGGGGCCATGTATCGCAAGATCTTGGCCAACAACCTCCTTCCCTCAGTAAGAGCATTGAAGATGGGTCGTGGCTGGGTCTTCCAGCATGACAACGACCTGAAACACACAGCCAGGGCAACTAAGGAGTGGCTCCGTAAGAAGCATCTCAAGGTCCTGGAGTGGCCTAGCCAGTCTCCAAACCTGAACCCAATAGAAAATCTTTGGAGGGAGCTGAAATTCCGTATTGCCCAGCGACAGCCCCGAAACCTGAAGGATCTGGAAAAGGTCTGTATGGAGGAGTGGGCCAAAATCCATGCTGCAGTGTGTGCAAACCTGGTCAAGACCTACAGGAAACGTATGATCTCTGTAATTGCAAACAAAGGTTTCTGTACCAAATATTAAGTTCTCCTTTTCTGATGTATCAAATACTTATGTCATGCAATAAAATGCAAATTAATTACTTAAAAATCATACAATGTGATTTTCTGGATTGTTGTTTTAGATTCCGTCTCTCACCGTTGAAGTGTACCTATGATAAAAATTATAGACCTCTACATGCTTTGTAAGTAGGAAAACCTGCAAAATCGGCAGTGTATCAAATACTTGTTCTCCCCACTGTAGTGGACCATGCTAAATGACATCCAATATTGACCACTCCATATAAAACAATAACACTTGAGCTTCATCAACCTGGAATACACTTTTGTGCATAATCGAGGGAGTGGTATTTTAAGCCTCCTATATACTGTTACAACCATTTAAAACATTCATATGAAATAGGCTAAATATTCATGTCCGTAACCACAGGTTTGTATACAATATTCTGGGACACATCCTACAGTTGACATTTTTATGAAGTGCTTTTGAATATGTGATTGTTAGTTAAGAATATTTGATTCTTAGTAGAATCATAGACTGACACTCTTCATTGTTTCCCAGGACCCCAGAGGCCAACTCTCGCGCCTCCAGCCCCTCCTGCTCAGACTATGAGAACTTCCCCATGGTGCCCACCCTGGAGACGTCCTATCTGGCTCGAGCCGGCAAAAACGAGTTCCTCAACCTAGTGCCCGACATCGAGGAGATGAGACCAGGGTAACTGCTATCTCCTCTTCCCCCTCATATTAGCAGTGGGCATGATGATGATGACTTCATTGTTTTTGCATCATACGGCATGCCAGCATACATATACACGTAGATAGACAGCACGTCACAAACGTTCCATACATAGTGCATTAGACACACAGACAGACAGTATTCACGCAGACAACCAGAAAGTACAATACAATACATTTACATAGAGTATAGGCTTGGTGGGGGGCTAGACTAACTCATATTGTTAACACTGCATGTTTGAGTGGTTGTCATAGTTTCATAGCTAAAACCCAATGAACAGAACTGAGCCCCCGTTCTCTCCCAACACAGGTCTGTGGTGTCCAAGAAGGGTTTCCTGAGCTTCATGGAGCCACGGTCCAACTCGTGGGTGAAGCACTTTGTGGTGGTGCGCCGGCCCTACGTGTTTATCTACAACAACGACAAGGACCCGGTGGAGAGGGGCGTGCTCAACCTGTCCACTGCCCAGGTGGAGTACAGCGAGGACCAGCAAGCCATGCTCAAGGTGTTCCCACACACACATGCACGTGCACACACAAACACATAAAACGACTTTCACTTGTTTGGCATGTACAATCATTTTAATGGGTCAACACTATACCCACACACGATGTGGAATAGATGTGGAGTTTTAAGAGTAGAACAGGATTGATACAAGCTCTTCAGGTTGAACGACAATGGCACATAATGCCCTTACATGTGTAAATGGCTTGTCACAAGGTTAACTAACTTCCTCGTTTGTTGTTTGAATCCTCTCTAGACACCCAACACATTCGCTGTGTGCACAAAGCACCGAGGGATCCTGCTCCAGGCCAACAATGACAAAGACATGAACGACTGGCTATACGCCTTCAACCCGCTTCTAGCAGGAACAATAAGGTACTGTACACATTCCCCTAACTAGAAAAACAACATTATCATCTATTTAGGACCAGTTTCCTGGTACCCAGTTTAAGCCTAGTCCTGGAGTAAAAAAACATTCTCAATGGAGAATGTCCATAGAAAGTGTATTTAAATCCAGGCTTGATTTGGGTCCAGGAAACCGGCCCTTAGTGATTTAAACATTACCACTGAATATAACCCATAGAATACTACTGATAGTAACTGTAAGTCGCTCTGGATAATAGCGTCTGCTAAATGACTATAATGTAAATGTAATAGTACTGATGTTGATAAGGCTCTGACGCTACCCATAGAGAAATGATTTCATTACCAAATATAATTGTTGATTTTGGTATACCTTTGCCTGTAAAAGAAAGTAAAGCTTTTGGCTTTAGTGTATGTTTACAACATTTTTCCAGAGCTCTACTCTACAATTTTATTTTTTAGCCCAGCACCCAACTTGGTGGGATATAGACATATGCTCTTTTTTGCTTACGGTTGTTATTTTTCCTTCAACCCACAGGTCAAAGTTGGCGAGAAGGCGCTCTGGTCTGCTGAAGAACTGATAGAGTTAATCTGTGTGCAGGAAAACATGGCTCCTATTCTTCAGACTAGCCTTGGAACACATACCAAGTGTTAACACTTATTAACCATTGTGATTCTTGATGGTTTTCTCTTGTACGTAGACTTGTGGCTTAAGTCTCCTCTCAAGCAACTAAAAGTTTCAGTTCCTGAAAATCTGCTTATCCCCTCTCCCACACCCCCAACTCTCCCCCTCTATTTCCCTCTCCCAGCCTCTCGTGTTTTCGTTTGGGATTCGTTTTCGTGTTTTGTTTCGCTTTGTCGTCATTACCCCTCCCTGACCCCTCTAACTAGTAGCATGTCGTAATATTCTACGTGTATGTGCACGATTCTTCAGAAACAGGTTCTGACCACTCTCTTTAAGTTTACTAACCGTCTGTAAAGATTGTCTTTATCAGTGTTATCTGTCTATGAAGAAGAGTTTTTATTTTACGTGCCCGCATGACAACAGCAGCATTCCTCAGGAGAAGACCAGGTTTGCTTATTTTACACCAAAAAAACCATCACAAATACGACAGTTAAAAAACTAAGGGGAAACAAAAAAGAGGAGGAACTACATGAGGAAGATCAGTTTACGCTCTCCCACAGAAAGCACCGCTGGTTCAAGAACTATTGCTGCTAGTGAAAACAGGTTTTCAGTCTACGAGACTTTACATTGGGCCTCTGCCCCCCTTAAAGTATAATCTAGCCCCCCTACGCCACCCCCACTCCCCTGAATCTTTGTGTGAAATACCGAACGGGAAAACAACAACTGTCAGTAAAGATCCCTATTTTCAGCTAGACATTCCTGCAGCATTGGAGAAACACGATTATTGTTATCCACGTGGTATCCATGTCCCACTGTTTGACCTCTGTATACACAAATACACCTCAAATGTAAGCATTGCAGTCGGTCTACCTGCAAGGACTTTCAAAGCAATTTGGCGTATTGGAGTATGACATTAGAAATACAACTTGCGAAATAAACACAATTCAGTAATGGAAATATTAAATTGGACAATTCCCATGAAAATACATTACTAAACACCCCTCTACTCTTTTGCCAGTTCAGCTGTCCTTGATATCTCAGTCACTGAATAGATAGATAGATAAATAGAGCAGGAATATGCCAAGTCACAGATACAGAGGGAGGAGGAGGGGGGACAGTACTGTGAGGAGAATGTCATTTGTACATAATGTTCCAGGATCCGTGTGCTAGTCGCCTCATTAAGGATTTAAAAGACATTCCTCTTAGAATCTGTTAGTCTTACTCTTAGTGCTCGTCCTACACTGCTCTATTTAGGTTCATGGCTCGTCGGCTCACATTGCCACGCTGGACCTCAGCATTTAATCGGTGTTTTATCATTGCATCCTTGTGTAACAACTAAAGACATAACAGGGTGCAAACGAAAGGAACCAAGGGAACTAAGTAGGGTTGTATAGCCTTAACTCCCTGGTAGTTATTTGGTGAAGGTTGTAGTGTGTTGCCTTGCAGAAATAGACGGGATGATAGCCTGTTATCTGGTCCATTCCCTCTCATGAAAACCATCAGGTACTGTGTTTCTTCTGGTGAAATGGTGAACGAACAGGGTTGGCGGATTTACCACAGAATCCAATACATTTTGCTTTTGTTATTCATTATTGAATCTAAACCTCTCATTAACTCAGCTAACTCTACTCATAAGTTATTTTTTTATTAACACTGTTGATTATTTTATACTATGCGGTCATTCCACAATGGATTTTGATATGAAATAATGGAAAAAATGTGTAAGGAGGGGAAGTTTTATCCAGCTATGTTTAACATTATTTTGCACATTTACACATAACTATAGCAAGACTATAGAGCAGACCAGACATATTCAAGCCAAGATTGATTGAATCTTAGCACCGGCAGTTGTAAATACGAGGTCTTCTAACGTAAGTATTGATAAGAAAGTGACACGGTTGATGGGTTACCACCCAGCTAGCACAGATCGTTTCACAACCTAAAAAATGTGTTAGCTGGGCATTGTGCATGATGACGTGTTGATGAGCATCTCTGAGACTGCTAATGTTTACTAACTATAGACCACTGTCTGAGATCAAAGGGATAGAATATGCTCTGATGCTTTTTCTGATGTTATTATTTATGAAAATATTTGCTCTGCTCATCTCTATAGGTCAACTGCAGCCACACGTTTTAGGTCCCTCAAAATTATGAAGTGACATTAAAATGGGGGCTCTGTCTCTACATTTGGTTGCTTTGTACTGTACTGCACTGTACGTATGAAAATAATGGGATATGCAGAGGGCTATGAGATGGCTCTGGCCAACCAACCAGTAGTTCCTATTGCCCTCGGCACACTGCAAAGATGAGTTGTAGTTTGAGTGTGTAGAGACAGTGACAATTGTGGACAACCCTCTGTGTTTGGGGCTTCATTCAGAATGAAAGTTATTGGCTAAAAGTAAGACATTGTCATTTTTCAGTTTGGAGATTCTTCGATAACATTTTCTCAGAACAAATGAAAATTTCTGAAAGATATTCTGCCCTCAGGTCAACCAACCTATAGCAGGACAGATATAAAAACCTTTGGCTCGTTGTTGGATTGTTACTTTAAGTTCTGCAGAAATGGTTCTCCATGTCAGGGTATCCGTACTGAAAAACGATCAGTTGTAGGAGGATAAGCTTTCCTTAACCTCAAAGATTACAGAGCAGCCTCTATGCACTGATCAAAAGCAAAGTTTACCTCCCATTAACTTCACTGTATTGAATAATGACATGTATGAGCTAATATTAACATATTGATATGATTACCTGTCAGAGCAAAGATTTCCACTTGGCAACTAATCTATATGATAGATATTATTATGGATTGTTTCATCTGTATTTATCGTTTTGCAATGTATATATTAGTTTGCAGCTCTTTGCACAGAATAATAAAAGGTATAACTAACTGATCAAATAATGTCTGCTCCATTTCAGTTGTTTCAGTACAAATGAACCAAATGATGGTGTGCAGCATTTGCAAGCTGAGGCAGTTTGAAGAAAAAGTTGAATGTACTATCAGGATGTTGCTGTGTATTATTTCCATTATCAAAAAGGAATTAGAGAACTAAAATATAACCCATTTGAGCCCAGTTGTTGGGAGATGGGTCACTTTAGTGCTTCCTTTTATTAGAAAGTAGTCTGAAATAAGTTTGCTTTTGAAGTTCAACCATATTAGTGATAGCTAGCCATCTAGAATGTTGCAGTTGCTCTTTTTGTTATTTCTTGTTTGTTTTTCTAATATCAGGGAGTATATTAAGAAGTAGCTATTGTTGTTAGGCATCCAAAATTATAGTATACCACTATACCATTGTTTCTCAAGATGTCTTCACCTCAACGCTTTCCCATGCTGCCTTTAAAACAAAACTAGCCATGATATTTTGCATCTCCCCCACTGACCCCAGTCAGAAGACTCATTTTTAACCGACACTCCTTCTGATTTGTTCACAAAAATGACAAACCACAACATTATCACTGTACATTATTTGTCAGATTGGCTTCATTTTCATACTTATTTTGTAAATATCTGTGTTGTATGGGGCTTGAATTAAAATGTAAATATGTTTCCTGTATTTGTAATAATCATAATCCATTCGCTGTATAGCCTAGATGTGTCATGCAGATGTCCTAATTCTATGTATGGTAATCTTGCACCATTGAGCTGTTTAGTGAATGAGGTAACAATAAAAGTACAACCCGTGCATAAGCAGAATAAATTAAACCTGTTTGTCTCATCCTTTTATCCTGCTATTGATTGGGGTAATTTTGACCACAGAAGCATCTTTTTAATAATATCTCAAAAGTTGTTTATTCAACAGGTTTTTCATAACTTTGTCAATCAACTTGATTAATCTCACTCATTATTTAGTGTTTCTGTATCAATATGGACTTTGTAAAATACAAATATTTTGGGGTAATTTGGACCCAAGCCAAAACACAATTAGGTTTATTGTGTAATTTGAAAAATAGGACCTTTTAATTTGAATCTAGGTTTGTCTGGTGACATAATACAATGTTATCCATACCATCAGAGGGTGAAGGGGACCTGTAGGCCTATCAGTGATTTTGACCAGATACACGGATTACCTGCAGAGATACAGCCCCTTATTTATAGTACCAGCCTATGATTATAATTGTCCTATACCAGGTATGACTGAACAAAATCTAAATTACCTCAGATTAATACTTAGTTATTTAGCACTATTTGGACTGAAATTATAATGGGAAAATTATGGTTAAGGTTTCAGTCCCAGCACTTGCTATCAAAACATCTCATAAGAGTCTCTCAGTGGTATGATTACTTGGTAGAACTGCAATACAGAAACCTGACACACAGGCTGTATTTACACAGTCAGCCCAATTCTGATATTTTTTCCACTAACTTCAAAACTTTTCACATCAGATCAGCTTTTTCAGAGCTGATCTGATAGGTCAAAAGACCAATGAATGAAAAAAAGATCAGACTGGGGCTGCCTTTGTAAATAAAATCAAAATGACAAATGTTGGATTTCTACTTCTGTCATGAAGAGCACATTTTCACAGTTTCATTTTTTAAAAAAACATTTTTCCCATCTTAAGATGTGAAAAAAAAAAAAAAAGGACTATAGTAAGTGCCTATTAAGTGCCAAAAAAAGTAACAGGGTTGAAGATTTCATCTTAAATCAGCCATAAATCCCCTCGTGACAGGGGAAATGGAAGCTTGTTGTGTGCAACAGGAAGTAGCAGTTGAATGCAGCTTCACACAAAAAATGACATTGCTCAAACATTTCTAGCCTGTCTATCTATGGGTAACAGGGTTGAAGTGTTATGCTTGACCCGCTCAGTTTCCCACCACAAAACACCAGAAAATTGACAAAAAGAGTAGAACCAGCTCACCTGCTTTTACGCTATGATTTTACTATTAGATGTTCAATGTTTCTTTTGAAAGAAATATAAAAAAATGAATAGTTTCACCATATTAAAACTGTTAGTTCAGTTCACGTAACAGGGTTGACCTTAAAATTAGGGACAGACTTAAATGAATCACTAATCACATGAAATAACTAATCTTCAGAAATGACTTTGTCAAAGCAACAAAATAACTAGGGCTTTACTACAATGATGGTGAAACTTGGAGAAATTGTTCGATTAAATGGGTTGAAATCTTCCTAGAAGTGACACAGGGTTGATGGAGGTACATGTCAAAATGCTGAATTTTGGCACTTTAGCAAGCCTTTATTTATATAAAAAATGTAGCTCTATTGAATTCTCCATGTGGTCTATATTCATTTAATATAACAGGCATTTAAAATGCAATATTGGTACAAATTCTACTTAAAATATCAAAGGGATGCAAAAGGAACTACAATGAACAAAAATATACAGTGGCTTGCGAAAGTATTCACCCCCTTGGCATTTTTCCTATTTTGTTGCTTTACAACCTGGAATTAAAATGGATTTTTTGAGGGGTTGTATCATTTGATTTACACAACATGCCTACCACTTTGAAGATGCAAAATATTTTTTATTGTGAAACAAACAAGAAATAAGACAAAAAAACAGAACTTGACATCCCCCCCCCCCCCCCCCCCCAAAAGTCAATACTTTGTAGAGCCACCTTTTGCAGCAATTACAGCTGCAAGTCTCTTGGGGTATGTCTCTATAAGCTTGGCACATCTAGCCACTGGGACTTTTGCCCATTCTTCAAGGCAAAACTGCTCCAGCTCCTTCAAGTTGGATGGGTTCCGCTGGTGTACAGCAATCTTTAAGTCATACCACAGATTGTCAATTGGATTGAGGTCTGGGCTTTGACTAGGCCATTCCACGACATTTAAATGTTTCCCCTTAAACCACTTGAGTGTTGCTTTAGCAGTATGCTTAGGGTCATTGTGCTGCTGGAAGGTGAACCTCCCAGTCTCAAATCTCTGGAAGACTGAAACAGGTTTCCCTCCAGCATTTACTTGTATTTAGCGCCATCCATCATTCCTTCAATTCTGACCAGTTTCCCAGTCCCTGCCGATGGAAAAACATCCCCACAGCATGATGCTGCCACCACCATGCTTCACTGTGGGGATGGTGTTCACGGGGTGATGAGAGGTGTTGGGTTTGCGCCAGACATAGTGTTTTCCTTGATGGCCAAAAAGCTAAATTTTAGTCTCATCTGAACAGAGTACCTTCTTCCATATGTTTGGGGAGTCTACCACATGGCTTTTGGCGAACACCAAACGTGTTTGCTTATTTTTTTCTTTAAGCAATGGCTTTTTTCTGGCCACTCTTCCGTAAAGCCCAGCTCTGTGGAGTGTACGGCTTAAAGTGGTCCTATGGACAGATACTCCAATCCCCGCTGTGGAGCTTTGCAGCTCCTTTAGGGTTATCTTTGGTTTCTTTGTTGTCTCTGATGAATGCCCTCCTTGCCTGGTCTGTGAGTTTTGGTGGGCGGCCCTCTCTTGGCAGGTTTGTTGTGGTGCCATATTCTTTCCATTTTTTAATAATTGATTTAATGGTGCTCCGTGGGAAGTTCAAAGTTTCTGATATTTTTTTATAACCCAACCCTGATCTGTACTTCTCCACAACTTTGTCCCTAACCTGTTTAGAGCGCTCCTTGGTCTTCGTGCTGCCGCTTGCTTGGTGTTGCGCACGCTGGGGCCTTTCAGAACAGGTGTATATATACTGAGATCATGTGACAGATTATGTGACACTTAGATTGCACACAGGTGGACTTTATTTAACTAATTGTGTGACTTCTGAAGGTAATTGGTTGCACCAGATCTTATTTAGGGGCTTCATAGCAAAGGGGGTGAATACATATGCATGCACCACTTTTCCATTATTAATTTTTTCAAAAACTTTTAAACAAGTTATTTCTTTCATTTCACTTTTTTGGACTTTTTTGTGTATGTCCATTACATGAAATCCAAATAAAAATCAATTTAAATTACAGGTTGTAATGCAACAAAATAGGAAAAACGCCAAGGGGGATGAATACTTTTGCAAGGCACTGTAAACGTAACCTGTTGGTCCCATGTTTCATGAGCTGAAATAAAATATCCCAGAAATGTTACATATGCACAAAAAGCTTATTTCTTCCGAATTCTTTGCAGAAATGTGTTTATATCCCTGTTAGTGAGCATTTCTCCTTTGCCAAGATAATCCATCCACCTGACAGGTGTGGCATATCAAGAAGCTGATTAAGCAGCATGATCATTAAAGCTTGTGCTGAGGACAATAAAAGGCCACTCTAAAATGTGCAGTTTTGTCACACAACACAATGCTACAGATGTCTCAAGTTTTGAGGGAGTGTGCAATTGGTATGCTGACTACAGGAATGTCCACCAGAGTTGTTGCCAGAGAATTTAATGTTAATTTCTCTACCATACGCCACCTCCAACGTTGTTTTAGAGAACTGGCCTCACAACCGCAGACCATGTGTATGGCGTCGTGTGGGCGAGCGGTTTGCTGATGTCAACGTTGTGAACAGAGTGCCCCATGGTGGCGGTGGGGTAATGGTATGGGCAGGCATAAGCTATGGACAACGAACACAATTTTATTTTATCAATGGCAATTTGAATGCACAGAAATACCGTGATGAGATTCTGAGGCCCATTGTGAGGCCCATTTTTTTTAAAGGAATCTGTGACAAACAGATGCATATTTGTATTCCCAGTCATGTGAAATCCATAGATTAGGCCTAATGAATTTATTTCAATTGACTGATTTCCACATATGAATTGTAACTCTGTAAAATCTTTTAAATTGTTGCATGTTGCGTTTATATTTTTGTTCAGTATATTTTCGTGGAATGACCCTGCCCCTACCAACTCCCATTGTTTTGCTGTTACGCTAATGCTGGCTATGGGGTAAGTCAATAAAGAAAACTAAGCCATATTGTAGGTCATTGTCTCTCAGGATTAAAAGATGACTCACTTTTTTTCAATAAATGTCAGTATATTTCAAATTTGGGTGTACTGCCCTTTATATGAAAATAAATACAAACACATTTATATGTTAAATGTTGCTCTGATTCTTGCTTTATCCAATCGTTTCTTCTTGGTAATCCATGCATGTAAAATATGTTGGTAGCCTGAGGGTTCTTTAAAAAAACATTACACATTTTCGACCACAAAATCCTTTTCAGAAAAATCATGACGAGACTATTGGATCACATACATTCTTACTTAATCTTTCTGAAGTTTTACTTTTATATTACATTTAAGCCATTAAGAAGACATTCAGACCATATGGGAACAAAAAAATAAGGCTCATGGTTACGTAATCTTATGATGATCATGAAAGAGGATAATATTGTCCCCTCTGATTTGTACAAATCAGTGAAACGATCTCAAATGAAGGTGCAGTTGGGACATTTCTTTCATGAATAAAGATATCTTTGCCACCTATTTCCTGTTAACATTTCCTCATATTCCTCAAGTTTCCCAGCTCTCCTGCTCTTAGTTAGGAAGAATGAGTTTCATATTTAATTTCTGAGGCCACATATGCTACATCATATGGTGGTAGTTCTGCATGATAAACTACAAGAATAGTAGTATTATTTTGACATGTCATGCTGAAAATATTATCTGGATTTCAAAGGAGAGAAGTGAAGATCGGGTCAGGCAACAAACATAACTTTAATAACTGTATTTGTAATGTATAACATTTTATTAATGGAATGCAGATCAAAGTGCGTTTGGAAAAAGGTAGTTAGATTGTTTTTCTATTTTTATTGGGGGTCAAACATTGTGGGGCCAAATGGTGTGACTTCAATTTTGTCTAGTCGTGTTGAAATTTGTGGGTGTGTAACAAAGTAATAAGAGTGACAGGGGGTTTAAACCAATGAAATATCTGATATCTCTGCTCAGTTTTTCTGCACGAATGAGAACTCGAGAACAACATGGCTTGAGCTCTTTGACGTCATCTCACATAGGCGATTATTTGGCTTGGGTGGACTTGAGGTTTCCTCTTCAAATTGGGAACGAGGAAGTATCGTGGAAATCTCAAGAAAGTGCATTGGTGTGTGTTACTTGAAGACGGATAATTTTCCATACCAGAAACATGGCAGAGTGAGTATAGCACTTCAATGCATTATCGTCTCTGAGAACTGAATGAATGATATTCTGTCAAACAGCCGGCGATGGATAAACCATCTATGTTTGCTAGCTCACTCCACTTGTTATTTCATTCACTGTAGTTAGCTAGCTGGTTAGCTAACGTTAGCTATCCAATACCACCCATCAGTGTAATATGGCTAGCTAATGTTGCATGCCTGGCATTAAAAGGGCAGTCTAACTTGATCTACTAACTAGCCTAGCTAGCCACCTAGCCACTAAAACAGAGATTTCTCTCTTTGACTTAACGTTAGCAAACGTCGTTTGCGTTAGAGTCTCGTAAAATCACATTAAAACGTATCCTCAGTCTTGCATAGTAAATGACACGGTAAGATTGAGCAATCTTGTATAGTTAATTGAATCCTGGATATTTAGTTAGTTAACTCTCTTTTTCCTACATTATCATTTCAATCAACTTAGAATTGTCTAGTCAACTTGGCTTTAAAATATGCTATCTAACGTTGTAGAATTGATTCTGAGTAGGCACTAACGTTACAGTATTGGACAGGCTCCTCTTGCTTGCTTGAGAGGCATCCTCTTTTTTGTTCAGTCTCAATCCAGATGCCCTAACTAACAGATACCAGGACTCTTGACTAATATGATTATGTTTCCTTCCACAGAGCAGACATTGCGTTGATTGGTTTGGCTGTCATGGGCCAAAACATCATCCTGAACATGAATGATCATGGCTTTGTGGTAAGTCTCATATTGCAGTTTATACAGTTACATACCCCCTAAATAGTCTGCAACATAAGTGGTAGGCCTAAACCTATTACAGTACAATGTCTTTCCTTGTCTAAATTGTCTTGCATCTATCGTAGGGTTGCAAAATTCTAGTAACTTTCCCAACCTTTCCAGGTTTCCCCAGGATTTCTGGAAAACCTGGTAATTTTATTAAAGTTACCAGAATCTAGCAACCCTAATCTAACATATTCTTTCCATAGGTCTGTGCATACAACCGCACTGTCTCCAAAGTACACGATTTCCTGGCCAACGAGGCTAAAGGCACCAAGATAATAGGAGCTGAGTCCTTGGAGGACATGGTGGCCAAGCTGAAGAAGCCCAGGAGGATTGTGATGCTGGTAAAAGCCGGCCAGGCGGTGGACGACTTCATCGACAAGCTGGTCAGTGGCGCAAACAGAAAAACAGGATAGAAATGATGAGTCATGCTGTGATTGTCAAATGTATCAAGGTTTTTTCAGTTCACCAAATCAGGTAATGGCAGGCTTGGATGCATTTGGAGTATTGAAATGCTACAAAGAGAAATTTAGAACTTGTGAAATTTAGTCCCAGGGTTTAAAATCTCCGGTAACTTTCCCAAAATCAGGAGGGAATAAGCAGGGAATCCGTAATCCTTTACCAAGATCTGGAAAATGTGTGAAATTTACAAATTTGCAACCCTACAGGCCTTAATGTGGCTCAGTTGGTTGTGCATGGCACTTGCATTATAGTAGATTATTGTCCCCTTCTAACAGTCCATTTTCCTTCACAGGTCCCTCTTCTTGAGGCTGGGGACATTATCATTGATGGCGGCAATTCAGAATACAGAGACACAACAGTAAGTTTATCAGAAACACCCGTTTCAAAGCTATGGTAGTGTCAGTGTCAAGAGTGTGGTCTCATGGTTGTGTGGACTGTGTGTCTCTGTGTAGCGGCGGTGTAAGAGTCTGAAGGAGAAGAACCTGTTGTTTGTGGGCAGTGGAGTCAGCGGAGGAGAAGAGGGGGCTCGCTACGGACCCTCACTGATGCCAGGGGGACACAAAGAGGCCTGGTATGGAGGGGTTGGGATTGATGGTTGATTATGACTGCATCCCAAATAGCACCGTAGGGAATAAGGTACCATTTAGTGCACAGACTAATGAGGAGGAGTAGTGATCGTCTGTGAGAAAATTGTATCTTAATCATTCTGTATTTTTAAGCTTTCCCATATTGTTCAGTGTGTCCACAATCAATGATATAATTATCACTGTGAACTGTTAAAATGTGAGTTTTCTTTACTCCTACAGGCCACACATTAAGGAGATTTTCCAAAGCATCGCTGCCAAGGTCGGAACAGGAGAGCCGTGCTGTGACTGGGTGAGCGGAATCTATTTTTGATGTTCACAGGATTTGGCACAAAATTGCACAACTTTCCCTTTTCCCTGCCAATACATGACATTTAAATGTGCTGTTTTGACAGGTTGGTGACGAGGGTGCAGGCCATTTTGTGAAGATGGTCCATAATGGTATTGAGTACGGGGACATGCAACTGATCTGTGAGGCCTACCACCTCATGAAGGATGTCCTGGGTATGGACCACGACGAGATGGCACAGGTGAGCCATTTTTATTTATTTAACCTTTATTTAACTAGGAAAGTCGGTTAAGAACAAATTCTTATTTACAATGACGGCCTACACCGGCCAAAACCGGACGACGCTGGGCCAATTGTGCGCCGCCCTATGGGACTCCCAATCATGGCCGGTTGTGATACAGCCTGGAATTGAACCAGGGGGTCTGTAGTGACGCCTCAAGCACTGAGATGCAGTGCCTTAGACCACTGCGCCACTCGGGAGCCCCATTCAAATTGAATCAACGTTTATTTAAATTGTGAACCATTCCAGACACCCCTGATGACTTTGCGCTTTTGATTCCACCGACAGTCATGTAATAGATATCAGTCTTTTAGAAAACGTAGACTGAATGTCTTAGGACCGTAACTTGAATAGCATTAACATGCCCATGAAATGGTCTCCATAGTACCTAACCGTAACAGCTGTTGATACTGTATGATGTCATGACGTATTTTAGTAGATTATTCTATTTGTCAGGTTCACTTCTGCTCTTGGGTCTCCCTTAGGCTTTTGAAGACTGGAACAAGACGGAGTTGGACTCCTTCCTTATTGAGATCACAGCTGGCATCCTCAAGTTCAGAGACACCGACGGCACTCACCTGCTGCCTAAGATCCGCGACGCCGCCGGGCAGAAAGGCACAGGGAAGTGGACGGCTATTTCGGCTCTCGAGTACGGCACACCAGTCACCCTGATCGGTAAGAGAGGAAGGGACAGTAGTCCTGAATTCTTCATTTGGAAATTAATCGTCTGCAGTGACGTTTCTCTCTGAGGCTAAAAGTTTAGATTGCCACCAATTTTGACTGACATTTTGAGTCAAATTAAACTTGTTTTGTGTGTGTATGCTCTCCTTTGGTGTAGTCTACAACTTGTCAGCGAAGTGGTTTATTTTCTTTTTTGGACATGGTTTATTTTCAGTTGTACAACTGTATCCCAGCCGTGTTGGCGTAGTCATGATACAGGGTTGTGTTCATTAGGGCACACCGGGCATTAGGGCAAGGGAAACAAGCATTTAGGGCAACGAAAACAAGCATTTCTTATTCAATAAGTTCAGATAGTACCTCCCTGTTTCATAACATTGTCTTCCATTTTGTGCCTACTGAAGAAGACCCAGCCCACAAACTACTGAGTACTCTAGTAGTGGTTTGTTATGAGCTGCTAATGTTTAGCCACATTAACTGACCCCCACAGTAGTTACCAAATCTTTGGTCAGCTGAACGTGATCAATGAAGTGTTTGCTACCTCCCTAAGTAGATTGGAGGCTTTTCTAGTCACACCACCTCATCTCAAGTGACATAAGGGGGATTTTCTGCAGCAGCTGCGATGGGCAGCGTCTCATTAAGGTAGCATCAGGTGGTGTGGTTATTCCAGCTAAAGACTAAAGGAATGGAGAGACACATCTCCTAAGTGATATGATCAAACTGGTTGACACTTGAGTTGACAGCCATGTCATAGGCCTGTTATTCACTCTTACTCACGATTTAAAAATGGAGCCACAAGATTGCTATAGAAAGAGCTACTTTTTGCTGCAACAGAAAAGGAAGACTTTCTCTATTTTTTGAGTGGCTGTTGTTAGTATTTGATGTTGTCCCTGTATCATCAGTACTGGGAGATCCTGTGTGAATGATAGCGGAGAGAACAAAAGGGCTCATTGTGAAAGCGGAGAGCTGGTGTGGGGGGCCAGGGAGAGAGTGGACACGCCGTACAGGCAGGCTTGGGGGGTGGAGTTCAGCTCTCAATAGGGTTGCATTCAATGCGGAGTTGGTCGCTTCGTTTAGCCTTACTCTTTTTTTTCTCTCTCTCTCTTCTCTTCCCCACTCTCGCCATTGCATTGCATCACTGTGGCAATATTTAGCAAGTCATGCTTACCCAATGTTTTTTTTCATCATGTGGTGGGAAGTTGTTCCTTCTTTTTAATGTGGCAAGCCTTGCTTTTACAATAGAATGGTGGTTACTAACGCTGAGTCATAGGGTACCTTTGTGTTGTCGGCGGCATTGTGTTAACTTTGCCTCGGCTAGGAACTGTGCCAGCTGTAGGCTTGTCATCATGTTTGGTACTAGTATTAAAAACTTGATGATGATGATTAAGGTATAAACGGGAGTCCTATTCGATCAAAGATATAAGGGCAGCATTTTGGGGGGAAATATTGTAGCTGTCTGTCATTGTCTAGCTTAAAGAGTGTACAATACGATCCCTTCTTAATGTCTAATTCATGATGGAAGGAAAAACCCGCACTCACACCTTTTGAACCCGGCACCCGAAGACCTTTTGTCACTACAAATATTTGAGCTAGGCACGCCAATTTCAGCTAGGCTATCAATTATCTTCGACAGATTACAGCTGTTTACTGGTTCATTCCTCACGAAACTAGAACAAAAAAAGACCATGACTTTGGGGATTTTCACGAAATGTAATCCATAGAAGGGTCCTTTGGAGGAAGGATTGTTGACATATTTGACATTTGTATCTTAAAGCATAATTGAGAAATAATTAATTATTTCTCAGTTATGCTTTAAGATCCAAATGTCAAATATATGTCAACAATCCTTCCTCCAAGGACTCCAGGGTTGCATTAAGTAGGCATGAAAAGGGAGAACATGTTTTGAGGAAGAGGTAGACCTTGACCTTCTACTTGATCTTGTCCAATTTCCTCTTGAAATATGTGTTGCTCTGTAAAGAAGCTGACTCTCTATGTCTCTGTCTGTCTCATCCCTCTATCTATGTCTCTCTCATCCTCCCCCCTCTCGCCCTCTCACAGGGGAGGCTGTCTTTGCCAGATGTCTGTCGGCCCTGAAGGACGAGAGAGTGGAGGCCAGCAGAAGCCTGGCCGGGCCCCAGGGAGCCAAGTTCAGCGGGGACAAGGCCTCGTTCCTTGAGGACATCAGAAAGGTAGCCAGGCTACAGATGACTGGGTTTCTGGGGCACTGCTTAAAAAACAAGAGTTCCAAATAAAGTACAGTGTTAAAAAGGAGGGGGAAGGAATTCACCCACATATCACTATTAAAGTGCTTGTCATGTTTTCTCACCAATGGCTGAGGACAATCACTTTTAATTTGTAATCAGCCAAACAGACAGAGTATTTTGAACATGTTGACTCATGCTATAGCTAATTGGTGGACTCTGGCTATCTCAGTTATAGACTGCTCCCAAATAATTTATTTCATATTGTTTTCTGAAAACTTGAGTCAAATCTCTCGAATTAAGAGCGACGGGTGGCGGTACTTGTATTATTATTTTTTGCATGATAGTACTTTAAAAAGTGGCAATATTTATTTCCTAAAGTTGCAATATTTATTTCCTAAAGTGGCCATATTTTGAGAATAAAGTGGCCATATTTTGAGAATGAAGTCCAGTTATATTTCAAGGTTAACGTAGGGGATTTGGTTCAGTGCATGTCTCCCTAGCTTCCTGTTGCTGTGCATGTCTCCCTAGCTTCCTGTTGCTGTGCATGTCTCCCTAGCTTCCTGTTGCTGTGCATGTCTCCCTAGCTTCCTGTTGCTGTGCATGTCTCCCTAGCTTCCTGTTGCTGTGCATGCCACCGTTGAAATGCCTGAGTTAGATGACCTGGTGAAACTATACTTTAGAATTGGCTTTAGTAAGAAGGAAATCCTTGCTCTCTTAGCACATAATAACCATATTATTATAAGTATTAGGACCTAGAAAAGGTTGTGCCACATATTATTTTCAGAAGGAGGAACCGTGGTTATATACATACAGTGGGGAAAAAAAGTATTTAGTCAGCCACCAATTGTGCAAGTTCTCCCACTTAAAAAGATGAGAGAGGCCTGTAATTTTCATCATAGGTACACGTCAACTATGACAGACAAATTGAGGAAAAAATTGTAGGATTTTTTATGAATTTATTTGCAAATTATGGTGGAAAATAAGTATTTGGTCACCTACAAACAAGCAAGATTTCTGGCTCTCACAGACCTGTAACTTCTTCTTTAAGAGGCTCCTCTGTCCTCCACTCGTTACCTGTATTAATGGCACCTGTTTGAACTTGTTATCAGTACACAGACACCTGTCCACAACCTCAAACAGTCACACTTCAAACTCCACTATGGCCAAGACCAAAGAGCTGTCAAAGGACACCAGAAACAAAATTGTAGACCTGCACCAGGCTGGGAAGACTGAATCTGCAATAGGTAAGCAGCTTGGTATGAAGAAATCAACTGTGGGAGCAATTATTAGGAAATGGAAGACATACAAGACCACTGATAATCTCCCTCGATCTGGGTCTCCACGCAAGATCTCACCCCGTGGGGTCAAAATGATCACAAGAACGGTGAGCAAAAATCCCAGAACCACACGGGGTGACCTAGTGAATGACCTGCAGAGAGCTGGGACCAAAGTAACAAAGCCTACCATCAGTAACACACTACGCCGCCAGGGACTCAAATCCTGCAGTGCCAGACGTGTCCCCCTGCTTAAGCCAGTACATGTCCAGGCCCGTCTGAAGTTTGCTAGAGTGCATTTGGATGATCCAGAAGAGGATTGGGAGAATGTCGTATGGTCAGATGAAACCAAAATAGAACTTTTTGGTAAAAACTCAACTTGTCTTGTTTGGAGGACAAAGAATGCTGAGTTGCATCCAAAGAACACCATACCTACTGTGAAGCATGGGGGTGGAAACATCATGCTTTGGGGCTGTTTTTCTGCAAAGGGACCAGGACGACTGATCCGTGTAAAGGAAAGAATGAATGGGGCCATGTATCGTGAGATTTTGAGTGAAAACCTCCTTCCATCAGCAAGGGCATTGAAGATGAAACGTGGCTGGGTCTTTCAGCATGACAATGATCCCAAACATACCGCCCGGGCAATGAAGGAGTGGCTTCGTAAGAAGCATTTCAAGGTCCTGGAGTGGCCTAGCCAGTCTCCAGATCTCAACCCCATAGAAAATCTTTGGAGGGAGTTGAAAGTCCGTGTTGCCCAGCGACAGCCCCAAAACATCACTGCTCTAGAGGAGATCTGCATGGAGGAATGGGCCAAAATACCAGCAACAGTGTGTGAAAACCTTGTGAAGACTTACAGAAAACATTTGACCTGTGTCATTGCCAACAAAGGGTATATAACAAAGTATTGAGAAACTTTTGTTATTGACCAAATACTTATTTTCCACCATAATTTGCAAATAAATTCATAAAAAAACCTACAATGTGATTTTCTGGATTTTTTTTTCATCATTTTGTCTGTCATAGTTGACGTGTACCTATGATGAAAATTACAGGCCTCTCTCATCTTTTTAAGTGGGAATACTTGCACAATTGGTGGCTGACTAAATACTTTTTTTCCCACTGTATACCTGCCCACTAGATTGAGTATCCTAACCTGTAGGCTAATCGCACATTACAGTGGGCAAGTGAAAGTCAATTATAGGCCTGTCCAACGGCTGCGGGGGTTGGAATGAACAATGAAGCAGGGGTTTTACGCAAGTGTTTGTGGGAGGGGAGGCAACTCAAGGACCACTCCTGCATGTGCAAAGCAGCTAATCTGAGGCGCTGTTTGAATATATTCATGGATGGATTCGCCCTTTCTTGAAATAATAATTGATCTAAATATAGGCCTATTAGATCAATGATAATAGGCTATTTAAGCAATAAGGCCTGAGGGGGTGTGGTATTTGGCCAATATACCACAGCTAAGAGCTGTTCTTATGCACAACGCAACGCGGAGTGCCTGGATACAGCCCTTAGCCGTGGTATATTGGCCATATACCACAAACACCCAAGGTGCCTTATTGCTATTTTATACTGGTTACCAATGTAATTAGAGCAGTAAAAATAAATGCTTTGTCATACCCGTGTTATACGGTCTGATATACCACAGCTGTCAGCCAATCAGCATTCAGTGCTCAAACCACCCAGTTTATACAAATTAATAATCACTGATCTGATATTACTTGTTTGGTAGCCTAGCGTAATATCTTCTTTCACTATCGGTCTTCAAGGATGGGAGGAATGAAGGATGCATAGGTTATCCCAAAACAGTCAGGGGCATCGTCTCTGTTATAAGCCATTTGTCTCAGCTATACCGCTAATTTAGGCTATCACTTGTTCACCTTATAGCTAACTGAAATATCACATTTACATAAGTATTCAGACCTTTTACTCAGTACTTTGTTGAAGCACCTTTGGCAGCGATTACAGCCTTGAGTCTTCTTGGGTATGAGGCTACAAGCTTGGCACACCTGTATTTGGGGAGTTTCTTCCATTCTCCTCTGCAGATCCTCTTAAGCTCTGTCAGGTTGGATGGAGAGCGTCGCTGCACAGCTATTTTCAGGTCTCTCCAGAGATGTTTGATCGGGTCCAAGTCCGGGCTCTGGCTCTGGCTGGGCCACTCAAGGACATTCAGAGACTTGTTTCCGAAGCCACTCCTGCGTTGTCTTGGCTGTGTGATTAGGGTCATTGTCCCGTTGAAAGGTGAACTTTCGCCCCAGTCAGGTCCTGAGCACTCTGCAGCTGGTTTTCATCAAGGATCTCTCTGTACTTTGCTCCGTTCATCTTTCCCTCGATCCTGACACCAACATGCTTCACCGTAGGGATGGTGCCAGGTTTCCTCCAGACGTGACGCTTGGCATTCAGGCCAAAGCGTTCAATCTTGGTTTCATCAGACCAGAGAATCTTGTTTCTCATGGTCTGAGAGTCCTTTAGGTGCCTTTTGGCAAACTCCAAGCGGGCTGTCGTGCATTTTACTGAGGAGTGGCTTCCGTCTGGCCACTCTACCATAAAGGCCTGATTTGGTGGAGTGCTGCAGAGATGGTTGTCCTTCTGGAAGGTTCTCCCATCTCCACAGAGAACCTCAGGCGCTCTGTCAGAGTGACCATCGGATTCTTGGTCACCTCCCTGACCAAGGCCCTTCTCCCCCGATTGCTCAGTTTGGCTGGGCGGCCAGCTCTATGAAGAGTCTTGGTGGTTCCAAACTTCTTTCATTTAAGAATGATGGAGGCCACTGTGTTCTTGAGGACCTTCAATGCTGCATAAATGTTTTTGTACCCTTCCCCAGATCTGTGCCTCGACACAATCCTGTCTCGGAGCTGTACGGACAATTCCTTTAACCTCATGGCTTGGTTTTTGCTCTGACATGCAGTGTCAACTGTGGGACCTTATATAGACAGATGTGTGCCTTTCCAAATCATGTCCAATCAATTGAATTTACCACAGGTGGACTCCAGTCAAGTTGTAGAAACATCAAGGATGATCAATGGAAACAGGATGCACCTGAGCTTAATTTTGAGTCTCATAGCAAAGGGTCTGAATACTTATGTAAATAAGGTATTTCTGTTTTTTATTTTTAATACATTTGCAAAAAATTCTGAAAACCTGTTTTCACTTTGTCATTATGGGGTATTTGTGTGTAGATTGATGAGGGGGAAAAAAATTACTTAATCCATTTAAGGCTGTAACGTAACAAAATGTGGAAAAAGTTAAGGGGTCTGAATACTTTCCGAAGGCACTGTATAGGCTGCTGGCCTAGCTGTTACTCTCTCTAAGATACAATGCAACGTGTTGGCATACACAGGGGATTGAGGATAACATTGTTTGCGAATTCAAAGGGCACCATGACAGAGACTGATGCACGCAACTCCATGTCTCTTCGCAGTCTGACAACGCACCATGGCCATTAGAATGGTATTGCCGGTACCGTGTGAGTGAGATGCAAGTTTGAATGAGTGTATTAGACCCACCCCCCCACACACACCTGCATACACACACAACCCACCTGTCTCTACCTATGTATGTAACCACACAGACTTGGATGAAATACCTCATCCGAGTCCGTGTAGTTCCTCATTCTGAAAATAATCTGTGGCACAACCTCTTCCAGGTCCTAATAGGCCTACTTATAATAATATGGTTATTATGTGTTAAAGGATTTCCTTGTTACTAAAGCCAATTCTAAAGTATAGTTTCACCAGGTCATCTAACTGCAGGCATTTCAACGGTGGCGCGCACAGCAACAGGGAGCCAGGGAGACATGCAAATCCCCTACTTTAATCTTGAATTATAACTGACTTTATTCTCAATTTTGACTTTATTATAAAAATACAATTCAGAGTTTATTCTCGAAATATTGCCACTTTATTCTCGAAATATTGCCACTTTATTCTCGAAATATTGCCACTTTATTAAAGTGCTATTGTACTAAAAGATAAATCATCCAAGTACCACCACTCGTCACGTAAATGATTCAAGAATCATAAATATGGGAACAGAATAATTTGTCTCTGCTAATTATCAGTTACTTCAAGCAAATGGTTTTGTCTTGTGTGTCCTGTTCAGGCACTCTATGCCTCCAAGATCATCTCGTACGCCCAGGGCTTCATGCTGCTCAGACAGGCGGCCAAAGAGTTTGGCTGGTCCCTAAACTATGGCGCCATTGCCCTGATGTGGAGAGGAGGCTGCATCATCCGAAGGTAAGACCTCGAAGACGGCAAATAAAAGACCGTAACATGCAAGATCACAGAATTTAATCTGGGGTTCTAACATACCATCATCATTAAAAGGCTGTCAGAGCTCCATTTATGAACGTATGGCCACAGTGTGAAGCCATATTTGTTTTATTCTTGCTGCCAAAGAGTGTTGTAAGGCAGGGTTGACGAAGCAACAAGGAACATGAGATAAGATTTCCTGGAAAATTGGAGTGGGACAAGAATGAGGAAATGTATCCTAATCAGGGTTGCAGTCAGTTCAAATTTTGAATTTAAAAAAAGACAAACTTTTGCAATAAATAGCTTATCCTTTTCAGTGTACTGAGAACTCATTGATAATGGATGCCCTTTTGTCAATTATTGAATTGGAATGTCAGTTTACATCCTGAATTGACTGACTTCAGTTTGATTTCACCCCAACTCTGGTGTCAAGTCATATTTGTTTTATTCTTGCTGCCACAGAGTATTGTAATGCAGTCAGCTGGTGAGTAAACCACAAGGAAGAAGAGATAAGGTTTCCTGGAGAATCTGAGCCATACAAGAATGAGGAAATGTTGGTCTTAATGCGCAATGTGGGAAAGATGTTGCATAAACCTTGAGCAAACAGAAACCGTTATCATAAGTTCTCTCAGCCCTGTGCCAAACTACACCCGACATTACTTTTCAAAGTGCAATGTGTTTTAACTGAGAATAGGGTCTTGGTCAGTAGGGCAGAACCATCTGAAATAGTTCGGTCCTTGACTTATGCCTTCTACAGAGCGAGTAACACTCCCGTCTGAAATGGTTTGATCCTTTTTCAGGGATAATAAAACAGTGGGTCATATTCATTAGGGCACACTGTAGCAAAAGTTTGGCAACGGAAAATGAAAATAAACGGTTATTGGACAAGATCTGGTAGTCCCTCCCTGTTCAGTCAGTTTTTCTTTTGTTTGGTGAGTAATGAATACAACCCTGATGCCAGTGTCTCTCTTTCTCACCGTCTCTTTTCTCCAGTGTTTTCCTGGGGAAAATCAAAGAGGCCTTTGACAGGGACGCTGAGCTGCAGAATCTGCTGTTGGATACCTTCTTCAGTAATGCCGTACAGGACTGCCAGGTACAGTAAAGGAGAGTAGGGTTAATCTGCCCTAAGATGCAGATCTTGGGTCATTTTAGCATTTTCCCCCCATAATGGTTAAGTTTAGGATTGGGGGAGGGGAAGCTGATCCTAGATCTGCACCTAGGGGAGTAGGAAGTGATGAAAGAAAGCCCACCCCTTTGTGGCCGTGTTAGCAACACACACTCACGGCTGTTTCCTCTTTGAAAATGAAGCTACCACACCACCGCTATATTGATACATACCATTTCCCAGCTCACAAAAGGAGAATATGATGGGGCTGTTTAGTTATTGGTGGAAATGTGTTTTTGTAATATAACACGCATGTCATTTGCTTCTTGTTCATACTCCAATCTAATCGCAATGTTGTACATGGTATGGCCCAAGACAGGGCAACATTTACAAAGTTATACTGTATTTGGTCTCTGTGTAAAAAAAAAAAAAAAAAAAACTTATAGCTACTTATTGTAGCTATCTTATGTGATTTATAAGTGTTCATGTCATATTGCTTTGCAATGATCTTGTCTAATAAACTTGAAATAACTGTATTCACCCCCTGATGTTCCTAAATCCCAGAGGGTTAGAGCTTATGCTGTGTGACTTCTGTGTGATTTTATTCATGCGTGTTTGTCTTTGTCATGGCTGTAGGACTCGTGGCGCCGGGCGGTCAGCATTGGAGTGCAGCAGGGGATCCCGATGCCTTGTTTCACCACCGCCTTGTCCTTCTACGACGGCTACAGACACGACATGCTCCCGGCTAACCTCCTCCAGGTAACAACACAGTGGATGCCACGGTGGAAATGTCTCTTCTTCCTCTTACCATGCTTAAGGAGCATCCCAGTGACACAACACACCTCTCTCTTCAGGGCACAAAGCTCCCCCTACAAGAACATATGTCAAAGTGAAGGAGATTAAAACGGTCTTGTCACGTGTGGATGTTAGCTAAGGGTAGTGTGTGTTTGGATGCAGGGGGAGGCGGGTGAGCTTTAAGACACTAAGACGATGGTGTTACTACATATTTCTAGGGTTACTGCAGCCTTTAGGGCCCACCCATACGCCCAGCTAGCAAGGAAACGTTTTACAAAATTGCAGAACATTACAAAAATGTTATGTGCCTGCCGGGCTGTCCTTGTGCCCACTCTTCTGCGAGAGCGTCTTGCGTCACTTTATTGGCAAAAATATAGAAGGAATAAAACAACATTTTACTGAGAGGCAACTCTTAACTCTGTGTGTTTGTCACTTTAGGCCCAGAGGGACTACTTTGGAGCACACACGTATGAACTTCTGTCAAACCCTGGCAAGTACATCCACACCAACTGGACAGGCCACGGTGGCAACGTTTCCTCTTCCTCTTACAACGCTTAAGGAGCAACGCCGTCTCACAGACAGAAGACATGAGTGGCAGTTACTAGCTCAAGAAGATTGACGTTACTCATTACTTCTCTAAAACCAAGCATCAATATTTAAATACCCCTCCCTTCCTTCAATCAGACATATCGTATCTGAAGATTCTTAAAAAAGGTTCTGAAGTACTATTACAGTTTTATTTATGATGAAGTGGGAAAAGTAATCATTGTATGTGTATGTAAACACTTCCCCTATGAGGTTGGTAGAGCAGTGCTTAATACTGTAGAGCCTATTGCCACAGACAGACACAACAAAGAGGGAAGTCCCAAGGGTTTCGCCCCCAAAGCTTACACCACAAGCTGTGGTAGTTTCTCCAATCATGTTCAACCCAGAGTTCACACAGTTGACACTGGATTAAGTTTAACCATTGCACTGTACTGTATTAGGCTAAATAAAGATTTAAATCTCTTTTTAATTAGCTTTTGTGGTCCTTACACTCCAATCTTGCAGGGTAAACAGGATTCAGGTTTTGCTCTGTATATAACGCCCAGGGTTAAATTGGGCAGGACGAGACGTCAACTGCGGTGACTGCCTTATCGGTAGCCCATGGTACAGTTACAAACTTTGATAAAATGACCCTGTTAAGTTAAAGTGAGAGAATCTCCTCTCTTTCATGAAATCCATTTCAGCCTTTGCTTACCAAATGATCACAATTCAAACCAATTGAATTGACATTTAGTGAACTTTTGTTTAGTTGTGTAATTTCAAGCAATTTCCAGTAGGTGGCCTTAAGACACTTGTCCCTGTGGCTCCTGGAAATCAATCATGAAAACACATCGATAGACCATAGACTCATATAGTATGAAATGTGACTTGGAAATTATTTGGTGGTTTATTCAAGTCCATTCATCTTGTCAGTGCAGGTTTATGTTCTTACTTTGAGAAGGTATTGAAGGGTTTTGGATCCTAAGGTTACTGAACTATTTCAAATGATTGATAATGCATCTAATTTGTTTACAACTTTACAGTATGGAACACTTGAGTGGAAAAAGCAAAATCACATTTGTGGAGACAGCTGAGTTGGTGTCTCACCTATTGGCGAAGGCAATATAGTTCACCTGTTATTCAGATCTCAATTCACTCCGCTTAGATCTTCTCGCTGTCTTTGGCTTATAAGTGAGAAACGCTACATCTCAAGCAGGCACACAGTTTGTTCTTCCTTTAATATCAGCTGTAGCACTCACCTGTTGAAATCCAGAGGGCAATTCAATGCTCATTTGCCAGTGCTCCAGATGCACCTGTAGCTTTGGTCTTTACGAGGCCATTGTTTTAGGCTTTAGTAAGTACCCCTCATTCAGCTTCTCTCTATCCATCCACCGTCACTTATTTTGGGCAGTTAGGTTCTTCCAAGAATACCTTCATTGGCCCCCATTTTAGCAATTGGTTCCTGCTTAACCTGTAAAACACAAGGGTAAAACAAACCTGTCTCACGACGGTCTAACATAATATGACATACATAATATGAATGGGTGTTTATGGGAATAATTCCAATTATTTAAAATTGGCTTCCTTTCTTATGTTTGAGATAAGGGAAGCAATATTGCAAGAACACTGGCCATATCTGCCATGTTTCTTTCAACTATCTAATCCTTTCAGAGCAAGGTAGAAGGGTTTGGAGAAGTGCATAGGAAATGTAGCCTGGTCCACCAAAATGTAAGCTCATAAGATCAGGATGGTCGAACGAGGCTATAAGAAAGGAGTCCACTGTCGAGTATTGACATTCATTATGTTAGAATATCACAGGCTGCATGGCAGATGTATTGTCATTGTCAATCCTTTTTTTTAGCAGGAATTGATGGTGAAACGAAGGAGCCTTTATCTCTGTAGGCTTGCTGTAAATACATTTTAGTGTTCCTGTTTAGTTGACTTGAATCTCTAACTTCTTACATGACAAACAAAGCGACACAGCGTTTTTGCTATGTAAGCCTACAGACAACAATTATCATAAAAAGCTGAAAACCTCCTGGCTCTTTCATTATCAAAGCCATGATCGTCATCACCACTCAACCCATTTAGCACAGCTTTGCTATTTGGATTCAGCATTCAGACTTTGTTAATGATACTCTTGTCTTTTTTTAAATCAATATTTGTCTGGTTTGATCCTTTGTTTATGCCCACGGCCTAATTCATCCATAGGAAAAAGAACATCTCAACAATTAGGAGCTTGCTGAGGAGAGAATACAGAGTGTTCTTAATGACTGCTAATGTCATGCGGAGGTTGTATTAAAACGCTATTATAGCTCTTTGATGGCAGCACAGGTGGGTGATGGTGCTGAGTCATCCTTCAGACAGTGAGTCCCAAATAACACCCTATTCCCTGTTGAGTACATTATGTTTGACCAGGGCCCAGGTCAAAAGTAGTGCACTATACTGAATAGAGTGCCGTTTGGGATAGAGCCAGTGAGCAAGAGCAGGTGAACAAGGCGGTAATGGGACACCAGTATCCTCATCTGAACCGCCTCTGTTCAATAATGCATTATACAGTAGTGTTGAGGAAGACACGGGAACAATGAGAAATATTCCAAAAACTGGATCAAATTGGGTCCTGCATGTTCCTCAGCAGCATACTACCTTCTTGTGGTTTTTATATTACACATATTGTTGGGGAATGTATAGGCCTGCAATTCCTTCCAATCTGAGAAAGAGGAATGGGTGAAAGCTATATAGGGCTTAGGCTTATGCCAGGATTCATTCAGATCAGAGTTAACCCTTCTTAGCCGACAAACGCATAGCTTTTTATTGCTTTTGTTTAGGTGGTGTCAGAGGTGTAACTGCATTAGAGCTGTCAAATCAGGCTGGTCTCATAGACTAGACGTAACATGGTCAACGAAAATCCGGAACACTCAAATTAGTATGATATGTTACATTAGGTATGGTTACATTAGACAGAAGGTTCCTTAACCTCTTAAGGATCAAACCCTTTTTTTCAATTTTCGCCTAAAATAACTAACTGCCTGTAGCTCAGGACCTGAAGCAAGGATATGCATATTCTTTACATTTTAGTCATTTAGCAGAAGCTCTTATCCAGAGCGAGTTACAGTTAGTGAGTGCATACATTTTCATACTGACCACCCGTGGGAAATGAACCTATATTCTTGATACCATTTGAAAGGAAACACTTTGAAATTTGTGGAAATGTGAAATAAATGTAGGATAATATAACACAATAGATCTGGTAAAAGATAATACAAACAAAAAAACATGCATTTTCTATTAATTTTGTTCCATCTTTGAAATGCAAGAGAAAGGCCACAATATAATATTGCAGTTCAGGCGCAATTTAGATTTTGGCCACTAGATGGCAGCATTGTGTGTGCAAAGTTTCAGATTGATCCAGTGAAGCATTGCAATACTGGACTATTTTGTATAAAGTCTGCCCAAATGTGCCGAATTGGTCAATTGATACATTTTCAAGTACATAACTATAAAGAACATACAAAAATGATATGGTAATTCAAAATGTAAGTTTACACACTCCCAGGAATGTCATTTATGATGGAACATTAATTTATACACTAACTTTTATACATCTAGATGGCCGGGCGGGGTGGGCGTGGAGCTGAAGCAATCCATGCTTTGGTTTAGTTTCCCCTGGCACTGTTTCCACATGCTAACATTTTAGCATTTGTGGCACAAATCCCTTTCAAGTCATGGGGCCAATATTAGCATTTTTTACACATCATGTTCAAATCATCTATAAGTGACTTTGTTGAGCTTCACAATAAATGTGATACTTTCGGATGATTTGGCCATGATGTGCGAAAAATGCAAATATCTCTCCCATGACTTGAATGGGATTTGTGCCACAAATGCTAAAATGTTAGCATGTGGAAACAGTGCCAGGGGAAACTAAACCAAAGCATGGATTGCTTCAGCGATACAGATTGAATAGAGCCCTTAGATTTGAGATCCTTTCCTAGTGATGTTTATTGCAACTCTTGTCACACTTTTGTTTCTTTGTCCTTAACTAATGTTTTTTTTTTTTTTTTTTTTTGCAATTATGGAACACAAGCCTAATTGATATATAATCAGTACAGAATTACTTAGAGGAGAAGATGCTACAAATTGTGGTGGAGGGAGGCTTTTCAAAGGAAATTACATCCACTTAATTGTGATATCTAATTCAGAGAAAACATTGACATGTTAAAATATACTACAGTGTAATAATAGGAAATGGGCTCATTTAGCTAATTACTCATGCTGTGTATTGCGTCAAACACCCTTGTGGGGGGGGGGGGGGGGGGGGGGGGGTCTATAAAAATTAGGCTTGTGCCACACAGGAGACCTGCAGCAGCTTCAAGAAAGTGATGATCATGAGGGTGCTGTTGAGTTTAGTACCCTTCGTCCTTATGGTGTGGAGTGGACAAGAGACAACGGCACTTCCTATAGAGGATAACCTAGGATTGCAGCGCAACCGGGTGAGTTGATAATAATCACTCCTTATTAAACTCAATAGCGTGTTTAAAGCTTTGGTTTGGTATGGAAATGTTAGTTTCTACATATGTCAATTCAGACTTTTGGGGACAGCTCATAGTTTTGTGATACAGTTCTAAAGTTGAGCTTTGACACCACACTGGATGCTGCATGTTTGTTGTGTTGTAATATCAAGTATGAGCCATGAATTGCAAACACAAATGCTGGTATTCAATCAACTCCAGATAGTGGTTTTCCGGATACACGCTTAGAAGTCTGTTTGATTCGCACAGCAACGTGTCCTGGCTGGCTGTAGTTGACACGTGATTTAGGGCTCTATTCAATCTGTAACGCTGAAGCGTTTAGATTCCGCGATAGAAATATAAAGGTAATTTCAGATTGAGCCAACATATTCAGCATTTACGGTGAATGCAGTCTCCGCCAAAGCGGGAACATTGTATTTAAGTTCCAATCAAGCTGTAAAGCTAAAGTTCTGCGATGTGGATTGAATAGAGCCCTTAGAAACCTTTCTGACAACAAACCTGACTGAGAGGAAGTCATCCATTGGATGCAACCTAACAAGGACTTAATCAAGGGTCAACTACCTCCATCCGGGATCATGTTGTTGTGCAAATCAAATGCACCTATATCATTGATTTAACAGCCTAACACCTGCCAAAAATGTATGTTGTTTGGTCCAGGAGTTGGCTGTGGACCAGAGGGACCTGTTGAAGATGTTGTCGGGGATGAATGAGCTGACGTCAGAGTATATGTATCCTGATCAGCAGCTCCACAGAGAGCTGCAGGAGCGATCTTTCAGAGCTCAAGTCCCTCCCAGAGAGAGATCCCCCTGTAAGAACTTCTTCTGGAAGACCTTCTCGTCCTGCTAGCGATGGCACTGGCAGACAGCTGTTGACAGTCACAGTTCACACCCTGGCCTCCTAGCTGCATTGCATGAGCAATCCTCATTGTCTGAGCAATCCTCAATGACTATGAATAAACTGCAACTAAAGAAAACGAATTCTGATTGATGACTGTGTGACACAGTACCTCTGCCTATAATGTATGTCTCCTAGAATGTAGGGTAGGCAAGTGGTATTATCTTACTATTGCAGGGGTCTTTCTTTATGCTTTTCAGGGAATGTTTGAGGTGTAGAATTACAATTCCTTGCTATTAACTTTTTACATGGATTGAACATGGTTTATTGTTACTGTATCAGCAAAAGACAACACTACGAAGCCTTCATACTGTCATTACTATTAACACCAACTAAATAACACTTAGAAAAGGCTGTAGCCTAGATAATTGTTTACCTCACCTTTTGGCTTCTTACCCTGCCTATATATGGTTCATTTGCATTTCTTAACTCATGAAACCACACTATCCTTAGTTTTACGCTAACAATATTTTGCTCATGGTGTGCTCCTTTCTGTCCCATAATTCTGTCCTTTTACCACACCTGTTTGACTCAAAAGCACTCAGAGGCTAAATAAACCGCTTCAAACAATGGACAAAATTCATGCATGTGATCTAACAGACCACTAGCAAAGAGGTCAAGTTTGAATGTCTACTGAATCACACCATAGTATCTTGTTTATCCTACAGCCTATCCAATGGATGGCCACTAATTATTTAATAGATGTCCATGCAGAAAAGGATACATCTTAATTTCAATAACCTCATACCTCCAGAACTCATATTTAGCCTGAAATCATCATCCCTGAGATCAGTTAGAAGATTGAATCCAACATGTCATGTCAGCAGCATGACAATCAATCCCAGCATACAACCCACTAGACTAGTCCACCAGCTCTGGCGAGTTTAAATGGAACGTAATTCATGTTTTATGCACTTTTCTCTCTATGCATATTCTGACCCCGAATTTAAGCATGATAATAGCATGCTATTCGTTTGGGGTGGAGATTAAAGAAATGTAAATGTGGTGATACACCGTATTCTGACCTTGATTTAATTCCCTCGTAATTCCACCACCTTTACGCGCGATGAAACAATGGATACGGTCGAGCAATCTGTTGGTTCCAAGTGGAACAACATCTACTTTATTTTTTTCTGGTAGAAATAACACCTTTCTCCATGCACTGTAATTTACACATTGATCAGAGCTATTGATAAGAGCTAGGTAAATGAGTAAGCCGTTTGGATAAGGGAATTCTAAATATAAATTACAATTGTTTTTGATTTTACCTTACGATCGCTGAAGACATTTGAAAACAGTCATAAGGCAGCAAACTGAAGCATATCAACATATCACCTTTTCCACAGTGAAGTTTATGAAACGCTGGCCTTATATCTTGCAAGGATGAAATTTGGAGAACCAAGTTATAGGCTTCTGTAGCCATGAGCAAATGACAGTATAGCACCAAACCTACCGAGTTGATTTATGATTTCTATAATATTTTAATTATATGCCCTGACTTTTCACTGTATCGTGTTAAATATTAGCCACTATCGGTAGCCACCGTCAGTTATACCCACATTTATAACTGTCACTTTAGTCACCTGGCGCAAGGTTCACGATGACTGGAACATTGTCTTCACAGTTCCATGATTAGTGAGGATTATTAGGGTAGATTTATAGGACTACTGTTCAACCCCTATTGTACACTTTTCTCACGTTCCAATATTGTATGAATTGAACAATTTAATATGGCAACTTTCAGGATGAATCAAACCACTGTATTTATGATTCACCAACATATTTCGTGCGTAAAGGCTCTCCAAACCAGTTTTTAAAAATACTTTCCTAACCCTAATAATAAAGATCAGAGTATTTTTTATCTACCAATTGGTGCTGAAAATGAGACGAATATGCGTGTTTTCTTTCATTGATCCATAATATTCTGAACGTTCTCTCCATATATTCTAGTGAGTCTGTCGAGAAAATTAAAATTAAATGTACACCAAATTTAAAGGGATGGCTTTAGATAAATGTACTGAGAACCCTATTAAATGAAAACTCCACGAGAATGTCTGTTGGCCAGCAAGTGGGAGGGTTTTCAACAGTTGAATTAGGGTCAGCGCTATCCGGCATCCTTGGGACGTCCCTACCACAAACCCTAACCCTAAGAAGGAACCCTTACTTTAAACCATTTTACATTTCAACTTCAATGGGGTAGGAACGTCCCAAGGATTCCGGATAGCGCGGACCGTTGAATTACATCACAGATTATCCATTATATTGATCAGATTGTCAAGTGGCCGATCTAACAATTGAAGGAAGTTGGGAGGAGGCAAGATCAGGTGGGACCATTCTAGCCAATGAGAGGGCAGGTACGTGTGGCACAACTCCGCTATGAAGTGTTTTTTTCTCAAAGTTGCCAGGATGTCAGGTGTCCTACATGTCAGTACGCTCAAAATAACCTAAGCATAATGCAACATCTATTCGATCAAATAAACCACACGTGGCAAATAAGCAGTACGTTTTTGTTAAACAAATTCGACACTCTTCTCCTTAACCGTCATACAAAAACACCTCCTTTGGTAAAAAATTAATAAATAAAAAAAACGCCACCTGCTGGAGAAGACAGTTTTTGGTCCCATTTATCCCTCTGGCTTTGCCTCTTCCTCTCTGCTTACATGTATTCAGCGCGGGAAATGCAAAGCCTGTTACTCACCTCTGGATAAGAGCGTCTGCTAAATGACTAAAATGTAAATGTAAATAAGGTAAATCTGAATTAGGAAAGGCATGCATTTCCTTAGTCTGAATCGGACCCACAATGAAGAGTGTCTACTTTCCCACATCTCCCCAATTTAAACGAAGCTTTAGACTTAAATGCAGAGGGGGTCCTTTCACCAACCTACTAGAAAACCCTTTTAGGCAGCCATTACCAAGAGTGAAAAGAGTGAGTTATTTGAAAACATGGAGGAGCATCAAAATAGGTATTTAGGCCTGCTTATTAATCATAATATCAGTAGTATAACAATAATTTGATTGCAAGCCTGTTAACTAAAACACATCCTGGGCAGTTGAATTTAGACAAGTGTTTATTAAATGTACCCATTACATTAAAGGGGCAATCTGCATTTCAAACAATAAAGTGGGCACCACAGCAGTGATTTGGTAAATAGCTTGGGGATGAGGCTGGAGTCAATGTGCAAATTCATAGACAGAGCTATGGATGCAAGGACTGACCATCCATGAGATAAAAATTACAGTCTTAACCATGGGCTCTATTCAATCCGTAGCACTAAAGATCCGATTTATAGCACGATTGACAATTAAAGGCAATGTTTCCGCGGTCGTGGAGGCTGCATTCAAGGCTGCATATGTCGGCTTAATTGGAAATTACCTTTACAGTGGAGAAAAAAAGTATTTAGTCAGCCACCAATTGTGCAAGTTCTCCCACTTAAAAAGATGAGAGAGGCCTGTAATTTTCATCATAGGTACACGTCAACTATGACAGACAAATTGAGAATATTTTTTCCAGAAAATCACATTGTAGGATTTTTAATGAATTTATTTGCAAATTATGGTGGAAAATAAGTATTTGGTCACCTACAAACAAGCAAGATTTCTGGCTCTCACAGACCTGTAACTTCTTCTTAAAGAGGCTCCTCTGTCCTCCACTCGTTACCTGTATTAATGGCACCTGTTTGAACTTGTTATCAGTATAAAAGACACCTGTCCACAACCTCAAAAGTCACACTCCGAACTCCACTATGGCCAAGACCAAAGAGCTGTCAAAGGACACCAGAAACAACATTGTAGACCTGCACCAGGCTGGGAAGACTGCATCTGCAATAGGTAAGCAGCTTGGTTTGAAGAAATCAACTGTGGGAGCAATTATTAGGAAATGGAAGACATACAAGACCACTGATAATCTCCCTCGATCTGGGGCTCCACGCAAGATCTCACCCCGTGGGGTCAAAATGATCACAAGAACGGTGAGCAGAAATCCCAGAACCACACGGGGGGACCTACTGAATGACCTGCAGAGAGCTGGGACCAAAGTAACAAAGCCTACCATCAGTAACACACTACGCCGCCAGGGACTCAAATCCTGCAGTGCCAGACGTGTCCCCCTGCTTAAGCCAGTACTTGTCCAGGCCCGTCTGAAGTTTGCTAGAGTGCATTTGGATGATCCAGAAGAGGATTGGGAGAATGTCATATGGTCAGATGAAACCAAAATATAACTTTTTGGTAAAAACTCAACTCGTCGTGTTTGGAGGACAAAGAATGCTGAGTTGCATCCAAAGAACACCATACCTACTGTGAAGCATGGGGGTGGAAACATCATGCTTTGGGGCTGTTTTTCTGCAAAGGGACCAGGACGACTGATCCGTGTAAAGGAAAGAATGAATGGGGCCATGTATCGTGAGATTTTGAGTGAAAACCTCATTCCATCAGCAAGGGCATTGAAGATGAAACGTGGCTGGGTCTTTCAGCATGACAATGACCCCAAACACACCGCCCGGGCAACGAAGGAGTGTCTCAGAAGCATTTCAAGGTCCTGGAGTGGCCTAGCCAGTCTCCAGATCTCAACCCCATAGAAAATCTTTGGAGGGAGTTGAAAGTCCGTGTTGCCCAGCGACAGCCCCAAAACATCACTGCTCTAGAGGAGATCTGCATGGAGGAATGGGCCAAAATACCAGCAACAGTGTGTGAAAACCTTGTGAAGACTTACAGAAAACGTTTGACCTGTGTCATTGCCAACAAAGGGTATATAACAAAGTATTGAGAAACTTTTGTTATTGACCAAATACTTATTTTCCACCATAATTTGCAAATAAATTCATAAAAAATCCTACAATGTGATTTTCTGGATTTTTTCTCCTCATTTTGTCTGTCATAGTTGACGTGTACCTATGATGAAAATTACAGGCCTCTCTCATCTTTTTAAGTGGGAGAACTTGCACAATTGGTGGCTGACTAAATACTTTTTTCCCCCCACTGTACATTTTGGCACGGATCATCTGCAAAATGTATTGAATCCAGCCCCATGTCAAATAGGGGGTGCTTATATTTTTCCTGTTTCACACATGTACAAGTGTGTGGTGTGAAATGGAAATGTGTTTATTGCATATCTCACTCCCCCAGAGACACCCTCGGAGAGTGGGGTCACGGCCAGGGATCAGCCATTATTGATGGCGACCCTGGAGCAATTAGGGTTAAGTGCCTTGCTCAAGAGCAGATCGACAGATTTTTCACCTAGTCGGCTCGGGGATTCGAACTTTCGGTTACTGGCCCAACTCTCTAACCGCTAGGCTACCTGTCGCACTGTTTTGAGGCTATATAGTGTTTGTTTACAATTACATTGTTTATCAACAGAGGAGTCAAACAATCTTATATTTTTGGGCCTGATGGGTTTAGACCACACAGCTGATTCAAATAACCAACTCATCATCAAGCTTTCATTATTTGAATCAGCTGTGTAGTGCTAGGGGAAAAACCTACATTTAAGGACATTTCCTATTGAGCCGACATATGCAGTCTCTGCTAACTCCGGAACATTTCCCAAATTAAATAAATGATCTCACTCCAATAAATGTGTATAGAAAGTTAGCAAAAATAGATAAGATCTTGCTACCATGGAAAGGTAAATACCTGTCAATTTGTGGAAAAATCACCCGGATTAACTCTAGTATTATCCCAGTTTACCTATTTGCTTATGGTCTTGCAAATTAGTAAGATTGTCTCACCCAATGTTCAAGAATGGCCTTTTTCCCTTTATTCAGATTACAACCTCTCACTTTAAGTTATTTGAAAAGGAAATAATCTCCCAAATATCACTATTTCTAAAACAAGCCATAGAAAGTTGGTTGCAATTTCAATTTAATCCTCCAGAAACGACAGAACAAATAATGCAACAAATATTGTGGTTAAACTCAAATATACTAATAGATAAAAAACCATTTTTTTGACAAAATGTTTTTAAAAAGTATAATCTTCCTAAATTATATTATCGGTAGGACTGGTGGAGTTATGTCGCACATGCAGCTAACAAAAACATATGGAAATGTCTGCTCTACCCAAAATTACAACCAAATAATTGCAGCATTACCGCAAAAATGGAAAAGGAAAGTGGAAGGGGGAAAAAGTAAGGAACTTGTCTGTCAGCCTTGCATTAAATAATATAATTGGTTAAAGAAAATTGTGACAAATAAAAAAGTATACCAGTTTCATTTAAGGACAAAAGGATTGACAGCCGTCCCATATAGATTGCAAAATAGTTGGGAAGAGATTTTTGACGTACCGATTCCATGGCATAGTGTTTATGAATTGATACGCAAAACGACGCCGGATTCAAAACTTTGCCTTTAAATTTCAATCACACTGTATTGCTGAACTTCCGTGACGCGGATTGAATAGAGCACCTAATTTGGCTATTGGATTTTTGTGGACATCGACCAAATGTCAAGTAAAATAAAATCAGCAACTTTAATCAATCATGGGCAATTATAATCCATTTAGCCTATCAATTACTGCTTATTTAAATTATTTACCAACCATATTTTGCTGTCCGTTAAAAAATATATATATTTGAATGATTTATGTAAATTCAAAAGTTCTTAAATCGATTAAATTAATGAGCCTCAGGTGCCACCTGAAAAGTTGTGGGCCAGACTTTGTTACCACCTGGAGGTTTAAATGTTATATTGGCCATATCAAAGACATTCAATTGGGTATGAGTCAGTTAATAAGCAAATTGCTCCCATTCTAAATTCAACAAAATGCAGAGTTGATCTATAAAAGAGATTGCTCCAATGTTGCCTTAAGGCTGCCACACTGACTCAAATTCATGAAACGGTGAGCTTTGCAACAATTTCTGACTAGGCACAAAATATGGTGCTGGCTGCTGAAAGACTATATAACCTTGTCTAAACAGAGAAATACAACAAATTATTACAAATTTAAAACTTTATTTTACACTTCAGAGAACTAAAAATAAAGAGTTCAATATCTGTACACAAGTGATAGATTCCTGAGGGGTATACTACAAAGTAGGTTAAACTAGTTAGCCAGCTAACTTCGATAAAGAACCAGAAATAACTATTGTTTTTCTATTTAAGAAAACTAAACTTAGATATGCATTTTTGGTTGTTGTGACCAAAGTTATTTCAGAATATTTAGGCAAGTTAGCTGGCTAACTCATTGAACTTGCTCTGTAGTATACCCCTCTGCTGGCGAGTTCAATCAACAATTTTCCAAATATCTAAAACCCTGTAAAACTGACTCAAGTCACTCCCCTTTACAGCCTTAAAATAATTTGAATGTCCAGTAAATCCGACTGAAATTGTACATTTTGAACCACATGAAAAAGATATCTACGGAATACTTGAAATAAAAGCCTTTAACTTAAATCTTTTCATTTACAATAACCGATGGCTGTATTGGGACAAAGCATAATTGAACGACACAAAATTAATCTTTCAAAAGCAAGATTTAAAGGTCATTTCTTTAAAAAAAGACTAAACAAAAACATGATCGTCACTGAATAGCAGGCAATTTGTTAAATAAATGCAATGTTGGACTTGCTTTTAAAATGTACTTGTTTGAAGGTATAAATCTAATACCTCTGCCCAATTGAGAATGGTCTGTTTTAAATTTCAGTGGGGGTGATCCAAGGGGTCTTGTTAGTGAGGTGAAGAAGTCCCTTTTCAGGCATAAGGCAGCCCCCAACCAACAGTGCAAACTCCAGTCTTCAGCTTCCCGAAAATTGACTTCACTCTGGGGTTCAGATGTAAACCTGGGCCAGCCGTGTCCAAGGTCCCTATACATGCGAATTAAAGTGTTGGCAGTTCAATTAATGTTAAGTAAAAATAAAAAGTCACTGTAAGGTAGGCAAAATACCTAGTCAAATTTTATTTTATTCGAGAATTCCCTTTGATTCACAAAACATATAAAATGCATTCAAAAAGACTTCAACACAAACTTTCAATAGGGACTCAAACGCTCGCCACTGCACCCTCTTAAGACACACAAGTTCACTTGCACCTTCACACACTCCTCCAAGCTCCCCCAGTGCTCTCAACACAGAATCACAAAAAGGTCACATTTTCACACAAAGGGGTAGGAACAAGGAGAAAATAAAGCACACACCATTCACATCAAATCAGACAGCAAGAAAGGATACAAATATCCATAGCGCTAAACATTCCACTGTGTTTAAGATTAAGTATGATAGAAATATTAGAGAAAGGAGACCTTGGGGATCTCAAGATGCAATAAAATGTCCTTTTGATGGTCATATGGAACACACTCGTACTTGCTTCTTCCTTTCACACTCGCACAAAGCCACAGGTTATTCTTAACTCTCGCAGACATCTGGCCCTTTAGCATCGCACAACCAGTCCTCTTCACACTTGCTTTCTTTCCCGTTCGCTCACTCAGTCTCACTCTTTGGCCACCACCAATCGCAATGTTCTCAAAAGCGAGACAAAAAGCAGACAAGATTTGTATATCCATGAAAAGGGGAGAAAAAAGGCAACACCCACCGTCTAACACAGTATATGCAGAGTGAAGCTGTGTCTTTTGATGGCAAAGCATTTACACATGGGAAGAGGGGTACCGATACTGAGTTCAGTCGAACATTGCTGCCAACGAGGGGCTTCTTCCCGGGAAATTCGAAAACAGTTGGTTAACTGTTGAAGAGATTTTCATGAAGGCGTTTCCATAAAACGGCAAACAAAAAAGATACAATCAACTGCATACAGAGATTAAACATCAAACCCAATTCAAGACCATTTAACCATATACAGGTGGTTGAGGGGCGGTGTCGTGATACTTGTGCATCTCAGAAATATCTACTTAGCATGCAGTCATCATCTGATGTCTTATACAAAATAACTTTTTCTCAAGAAAAACAAAAAACGACAAATGTAGTGTAGCAGTTTACCACTAACAAACTATACACTTCAACCACTCTGTGCACTCATTTCCTACAGAATTAGTCACCCACACACACACAAAATGAATGTCTTCTTTAACAAAACGACAAAAGGCAATAGTTTTAAATAGCAGGGACATATGATATGACTATAACTCTTTCTTGCCCCTCAAAATACTTACCAGATTAATCTAGAAATAAGAAAGACTATCAATCAAAGCTCTCTACATTCCCCAACCTGATGACTTTGACTCCATAGAGGTGCCAAAGCCAGAGCTGAACCCACTGCTGGAGGCAGAGTTAGTGCCTGCAGCCCACCCAAGACTAGCTGAGCTGGGACTGCTGTAACTGGTGCTAGAACCATAGGCCTGGCTTTGATCTCCGGTGGCACTGGTCTGCCCGGCGGCGGTGGTGCCTGCCGCATTGGTCTGACCCTGCTGGTTAGCCAGCATACTTTGCAGAGCGGCAGCCATCATGGCTGGGTTAAGGCTAAAGCCCCCAAAATTCACCCCGCTACTGCCACTGCTTGGTAGCCCTCCACGACCACCGCCATAGCCCTGACCCCCGAACCCACCAGCCCCACGATCCATCATTTGCCTACTATTATTGTGCTTAGGCTCGGCGTTGGAGATGTGCACGCTGACGCCCTTGATGATCAGGTCCTCTCCGCACAGGGCTGAGGCAACCTAGAGAGACGGGGGCGGGTGGAGGAGATGATTCAACACACAAACCAACCAGAATGTAATCTGCGCACCATGTCAAAAGTCTTCACCCAACAGGTTGAGCAACGGCCATAAGAAAACATACCTGGTCGTCTGAGAACGTGACAAAGGCAAACGCCCGGAAGGGTTTGGGAATGAAGACGTCGGTGACCTCGCCATACTGCATGAAGAACTGCCGGAGCTCATCGGTGGTTATGTCCTCTGTGCAGCGGCCAACAAAGATTTTACAGTTGCGCATGGGCTCATCAGGACCTGCCTATCATGAAAATAAAAGAGAGAAAGCGCTTTGAGTATTTTACTTGCACTGGGGATAGATCAAAATGGAGACTTTAGAGGAAAGGCTTCAAATAAGCGAGTACTCCTTACATATTGCTTAAATACCTTAGAGTTTGGTAGTTTGCAGTCACACCATCTTCCATCAATCATGTGCCGCTGAGAAATCACTTTGGATTGAGTCTCATACTCAGTGAACCGAACAAAGCCAAACCCCTTTGAGTTCCCAGTCTTGACATCTCTTTTGACCTGCAGAGAGAGAGAAGTATGATTATTGACATGCATGGTTACCTCCATGAAGTACATCAACCATTAAACCAAATGTTGATATGGTTGGGTTACCTGCACCATGATGACTTCTCCAAACGTGGCAAAGTAGTCTTTCAAATCTTGCTCAGATGTTTTCCAAGGCAACCCAAGGATAATGAGGTCTGAAGTTCTCTCGATACCTCTCTTCATTTTTACAGCAGAGACAGCATCCATTTCATCCATCTTCCTTTTGTTATCTGACACAGGAATACAACATGTTGTAAAACATGATGATACAGTGATAAGACAAAATCAAAAGGCAGTCAAGCAAAATACTTGGTCATTAGCCTAAACACACTAGCTAAATAGCTAGCGAGGCAATTGAAATGTTAGCTAGTTCTGAAATAGTCTAGTTACCTAAGGCCAATATAAACTTTTTGTGCACCAACTTTAGTTAAATGTGTAACTCACTAAATGAAGCTGCATAGTTACTGTTACAAGTACTAGCTTGTTTCGCATGACCGTGTACACTGTACAGTCAGTCAAACGTAGCTAGCTAGTACTGGTAGATAGCTAGTAACGTTACTGGTAACAGTAACCAAGTAGCTTCATTTAATTAGTTAGCTAACGTACCCACTAACGTTGCCTCTAAACGAAAAAACACCTTACCTTTTGGGTAGTTGACGACGTACACCAGACTACCCCAGTCATTCTCAGGTGCATGTAAGATACCCTCAACTAGACGGACGCCTCGCATGCACTGAGACGCAGGATTCCTGTAACGTAGGCCGCACGCTCCGGGAAACTGGGCTGCTACTGTTGACAGCAAAACAGTACCATCATCCTCAGATGGGATCTCCATTGGCTCTTCGTTTTCATCCTCTCCCACGCGAATGTACAACTCTGCCATGATCTCGAAGTTAGATGAGCAAGTAATGTAAACAAGCTAGCTAATGGCTAATTCAAGTTCACAAAGCTGACGGCGCACGCGGGGTTGTCGATTGTTAGCTAGCAAGCTAGCTGGCCTAGCAATATTCCAAAGGGCTTCTAATCTAACTATCTTAATAAAAGATGACAAAGACAAAAATTATAATTTGTACGTTCACGGGACATACGTCTATTGAAAAAAATACACAGAGATTTGGCGTCTGAGAGCTGAAAGGGCCCTCTTTAGCGGGCTAAAAAACAACGCACACACTTGCAAAATGAATGGCTAGCAGGATCTCGCCCGCATACGATACACAAATATTTGCCTCAACTTTACTGGTTCAAAAACGAGGTCGACCGGGTCTTGAATTAAATTATCCTTGATGAATTATAAAAACCGGCATAATTACACGTCAAATTTGTGAGGGATTTTTTTTAAATGAAAGTCGTCCGCTAATCTCCCTTACCTTCAAACTTCTAAAATGTCCGCTTTGCTTGTACACAAATGATGACGTCACTTTCGTACGGTAACAAAGGTACCTTCAAAATAAAAGCCCACATTTCAAAATGTTGCAATGCTAATACTATAACAAATAAAAAATATATTACATTGTTATCGGAGTGCAAATTATACCATGACATTCGGGGGAGCCTCTACCTGTGGGGCGGCGCAGAATTGGTGTTTTCAACTCTTAATGATCGGCTATGAAAAGCCAACTGAGATTTATTCCTGATTATTATTTGACCATGCTTGTCACTTATGAACATTTTTGAACATCTTAGCATGGTTCTGTTATAATCTCCACCCGGCACAGCCAGAAGAGGACTGGCCACCCCTCATAGCCTGGTTCCTCTCTAGGTTTCTTCCTAGGTTTTGGCCTTTCTAGGGAGTTTTTCCTAGCCACCGTGCTTCTACACCTGCATTACTAGCTGTTTGGGGTTTTAGGCTGGGTTTCTGTACAGCACTTCGAGATATCAGCTGATGTACGAAGGGCTATATAAAATAAAATTGATTGATTGATTGAATTGGCCCAGCGTCGTCCAGGGTAGGGGAGGGAATGGCCGGCAGGGATGTAGCTCAGTTGGTAGAGCATGGCGTTTGCAACGCTAGGGTTGTGGGTTCAATTCCCACAGGGGGCCAGTATGAAAAATAAAAAAATAATGTATGCACTCACTAACTGTAAGTCGCTCTGGATAAGAGCGTCTGCTAAATGACTAAAGTGTAATTGTCAGCTATGGTGATCATTTGGTGCAAGATAATGTGCCTTTTCTATTCAAGGTATCATTAACTTTGAGTCCTCCCACCTCCCTGCCCAATCCCGAATCACACACTTTAAATACTTCATTTGAATCCACAGAGATATTGCTATCGTACATCACTAAATCACTGCATTGTAGTCTGGATCACACTGAATGTGTTCTCTGTTGGGTGGTGCAGGAACCATTGGACACTTCATTATGAAGCTATGAGTTCGACCTCCAAAACTGTTGATTCTCTTCACCAAATTCAGCACAAGGACATTGTTGCCATGCTGCTAGGATGCAACCATCACACCAAACAAAAAGTGGTCATACTGGATCAGGAAAAGGTAGCCTACTAGCTACAATGTTTCTTGCACACTTCCCATCACAGATTCAAAAGTATTGGGTATTGGTTGGTAATAAATCTCTGACCCAATACAAGATAATCTCAAAGTGCATAGGGAGAATGGTGGAGAATCGGGACGTAGCCAAAGTCCTACATTGCTGCTATAAAACAGCCATTGTACATACTGTAACTCTAAAGATGTAGTTCTTGTCAGGATCTTTGTTTAGTGAGAATCCACATGCAGAAAACTGGAGGTTCAGGTGATCCAAAGAAGCAAGGCTTACTACTGAGGACAAAGGGATGAAAAGGCATTACAAAACAAACGTAGAGCAATAAAACATAATAATGCAGCCTAATCTTGATTGTGACACAACCTCTCATGTAGAATACAAAATGTGAAATGTTCATGAAACAAATATGTGATGTAGCTTAATGCCAAAAAGTATATTTGAAATGCTTCACAAAAATATGTGATATAGCTGGTACCCAGTAGGCAAAACTGGGCAAATCTGGTTGAATTGACATAATAATAACATCATTACAACCAGTTAATGGTTGAAATTACAACATTTCAACCAGTTTTACCCGCTGCCGCTGGGTAGAATATTAGGTTATTAGTTAGATAAAATTGGGATAGTCACCTTGAATTCTTAGGGCCCCAGAGAGCCAGAGTCTCAAGCCCTCTATTCTCATTCTGTGGACCCACACCTCCATGTACTCTGAGAAGCATTCCACATCTCCCTCTGAAAATAAGTTTCATTTCAGTGGGTTGGTTCTATTGTTGCAGGCTACCTGTAATTTACCCTAGGTTACCGGAATCGTTGGTAATTTTGGTAACTAACAGGTAATCTATGCAATCTGTGGTAATTTAGGTAATTTATACTTGAACAATTTCGAAATAAACCTATTAATATAGTATTCATTTTTAGTGTGGCAGCCACACTTTAACTTAACTTATAGTTATTATTATTCTTTATAATTCCTCTTACACCGTTTAAGATAGAAACGCTGTTCAAACTTTAAAACGTGTAAACTGGTCTGGAATAGTATGCTTGCATAAAACTTTTTATACTAAAATATTGAACTTTCTGTCACTTTAATGGGATTTCCTCAGCATTCTAAAGGTCCCATTGTGACATCATAACACCCAACATTCTATTCTATTCACTGTAAACAATGTAACTTTTGACACAAATCAGCTACTTTGAAGACTTTCCCAACAATTTAGACAAAAAGTTAGAGCATATGAAATCTGCCTCCACTTCTCTGCTTTTCAAATCTGAAACAGAACAGAATGATCTTCTATCAATCAAAAATGACAGCTGTTTTAGTAAACGCATCAACTACTTTTCATCTCAACTTTTACAAACAACTGAAATTTTACTTACCCAGCACTTTAGCCAAAAACCAAGAAGGAATGACATCTTGGTCTACTTCTCTGCTATTTAAATCTGGAATCAGAACAGAACCATCTACTACCAATCAGGAGATACGGCTGTTTTAGTAACTGCATCACCTAATTTACCACTGTTGAATTAACTGCCATGGAACTTTTCAGAACTTTTCAGAACTTTCAAATTATAACAATAGGGGCTCACATAAGACTTATTATGCCACACAGTACTGTTTGTCTACATGTAGTTATCTTTTACCTTTTGTACTGGTCTGTAGTCTGCCTTGCACAGTAGTAAACTCCCATCCAGCTGGCGGCGCTGATGTGCAATTCTTTGCACGCCACCCCACTAGTACCAAGCAATTTCATTTTTTTTATTGATTAGAACACAGAAGTAGGATTGAAGACAACTTTGTTTTGATTTCAAACATTCTTTGTGTGGAGTAAAGAAAGATATAATGACATATACAACACATTCACAACTCTTATTAGACCAAAAATGTCAATTCATCCATATTCCATAACTTTGCATCTTTGCATCCTCCTTTGCATCTTTGCATCCCTCCATCCATTAGGTATTTCATCCTGTGTCCTTCATTTATTTATCTATCCATTTATTAATATATCCTATTTATTGATCTATCCATCCAGTCATAACTTGCTTTTAACAACTTTATCATTTGATTAAAAAAGACATGTATGGTTGAAGGGAGGCTAAAACAAACTTCTAAACATTTTCCACTAGAGGCACCATCATATTTCTCTCCCTAAATGATAGCCTACAATTTTCTAATTCCTTATGAGTAATTATTACACTTTGTATATTCTGTGGTTTTCTAGTAGGAGAGTATATAAAAGTATAGTAGTCTTATTTGTGATGAAATATGTGATCCAACTGCCCCACACTCTAAAGTAATAAGGTTGATATAGTAGTCTATCAAAGTAATCAGACCAGCTATTTTAATATAATTAACTTTGACAATATTGCACTGCTTCACTTAAGTAAAACGTTTTAAACTTCTTCCACTACCACAAAAATACTTTGTGAAGTCACAAACATGTTGTGATGGAAAATTACCATCTAGTTTATATCTGTGTCCATGAGTTTCTAGTGGCTACATCATATGGTTCAAGAGAAAATAGCCTAATTAATGACAAAAGCATCTAATCAACAATGGCATTATTAGGTGTGATTTCTGAAAGCAAAGCACAACTTTAGAAACTGCTCATACTTCTTCTTATTCCGCTGGAACCTCTAGTTCCAAAACTGTAAAAGCTACCAAAACCAAAACAACTTCAAAAGGAGCAGGCTGGCACTGGTCAGTGTGCTTACAGCATTTTGGTACTGCTACTACTACTACTACTACTTTTCACACTACAACCATATTTCCATAAATCTCAATGCATTACAATGGCCATAGACTTGAAGGGGAAAATGTTGCTCCCCCTGGCTCCCCCGTAATTTGTATCTGATTGTAATCAATGGCCATTTTATGGTGCTTATAAGCGAATGCAAGAAGGAATTTCAGATTTTTTAAATATATACACTACCAGTGAAAGGTTTGGACACACCTACTCATTCCAGTGTTTTTCTTTATTTTTTTACTATTTTTACATTGTAGAATAATAGTGAAGACATCAAAACTATGAAATAACACATATGGAATCACGAAGTAACCAAAAAAGTGTTAAACAAATCAAAATATATTTTACATTTGAGATTCTTCAAATAGCCACCCTTAGCCTTGATGACAGCTTTGCACACTCTTGGCATTCTCTCAACCAGCTTCATGAGGTAGTCACCTGGAATGCATTTCATTAACAGATGTGCCTTCTTAAAAGTTAATTTGTGGAATTTCTTTCCTTCTTAATGCGTGTGAGCCAATCAGTTGTGTTGTGACAAGGTAGGGGGGGGGTATACAGAAGATAGCCCTATTTGGTAAAAGGCCAAGTCCATATTATGGCAAGAACAGCTCAAATAAGCAAAGAGAAACGACAGTCCATCATTACTTTAAGACATGAAGGTCAGGTCAATACGGAACTTCCTTCAAGTGCAGTCGCAAAAACCTTCAAGCGCTATGATGAAACTGGCTCTCATGATGACCGCCACAGGAAAGGAAGGCCCAGAGTTACCTCTGCTGCAGAGGATAAGTTCATTAGAGTTAACGGCACCTCAGATTGCAGCCCAAATAAATGCTTCAGAGTTCAAGTCACAGACACATCTCAACATCAACTGTTCAGAGGAGACTGCGTGAATCAGGCCTTCATGGTCGAATTGCTGCAAAGAAACCACTACTAAAGGACACCAATAAGAAGAAGATACTTGCTTTTGCCAAGAAACACGAGCAATGGACATTAGACCGGTGGAAATCTGTCCTTTGGTCTGATGAGTCTAAATTTGAGATTTTTGGTTCCAAC